TGGCTTAATAAAAAGTCATCGTGCTATTTTGAATTGTCAAAAAAGATATCTGAAAAAAGCCGTATATTGAAATATATTAAAGATTGTAAAGCTATGATTGAAGTTTGGAAACAAAATTTGAAATAGTCTAAACAATATGAAACCTGAAATAAAAATCACTTAAAGACAAAAAGCCATATAATATTAAGAAAAAAATGAGAGGAGAGCCGATTTCAAGAATTGTTGAAAGAAAATTCAGACCAGACAAACATAAGGATGTTTCTAATTTTATAGGACAATGCTTGAAAGACGGTTTATTTCCAACTTATGAAGAATTCATCAATGACGTCCTAGGATTAAACTTTGGTAATAATATTGTTAATGATTGTATGTTAAGCTTTTATGGTATTAGTGAGAAGTATTTTGAAACAATCAGAAAGCTTATCTGTTGTAACACTTTATTTAGTTATGAAAAAACAGCTTATGGATTATATAAAGATAGAGGCGTTGAAAACTTCTTTGAAACGTTCAATCACATAAACAAAATTATAAATTATGTTCAGAGCAAACTAAATTATGAAACAGATGATGGTCTTTACACGGTAAAAGTTATAAAAATGACAAACATTTTCAGAATGGCAATGAATAAAGCTTCAAGGTCTGAAAGTCTTTTTCATATAAACTCTATGATTAGTAGGTCTAATTCAAGAGACTTTTTAGATGAAGATATAACTGTTATGACTTGTAAATGTGGATGTGTAATTAAAAGGTCTCAATATAGAAGACATATAAAAACTAAAAAACACGGTGAGCTAATGAAAAAGATAATTGAAAAAGAGCTAATGAAGACAAAAGCAGAAAAATTAAATGAAATGGATTAGATAACCATCATATTAAAATAATTAATATGATGTTTAAGGACTTCAAGTAATAAGAGCTTTGGTAAGAATATTGTTAGGGAGCTTGGGAAAAGTAGGATGAAAAATAGGAGAAATGAATTAGGCGCGATGGTATGAGTTGTGGAATGAATGTTAGGGAGTGAGTGTGAAAAATGAATGAGGGTAGAATGAATGATGAAAAAGTGCTGAAATAGGAGGGTAAAAAGGCAATATTGGTCAATAACCCCTAGAATCCCCCTCTGGAAAGTGGATAAGGTGATTATGATGATGAAAACGAAGAAGGCGTGTTAGAATGTGAAATAATAGCGGAGGTGGGCAATGTATGATGTGTAAGTCCTGTGAATCCCCCTTTTACTAATTTTTTCCCCCTCCCAAAATCAGCGTGTAAAGAAACCCAAACACCGAAACGAAAAAAACACTCCAAAAATGCGCCCATAACTCCCCCGTCCCAAAAATAAGTGTGCAAACATATCCAAACACCGAGTCGAAAAAATACAAAAACACACAATTCCCCCCTCCCAAAAAATCAGCGTGTAAAGAAACCCAAACACCGAAGCGAAAAAAACTCCAAAAATTCGGCCAGAAATTCCCCCCGCCCAAAAAACAGTGTGCAAACATATCCAAACACCGAAGCTACCAAAAAATCAAAAAAATAATGAATAACGCCCATAGTTCCCCCCTCCCACAACAAAAGTGTAAAGATGCACAAACGTCGAATCGAAAAAATCCGGAAGTGTGCCCATAATTCCCCCTTCCCAAAATCAGCATGTGAAGAAACCCAAACACCGAATCGAAAAAAACTCCAAAAATGCGCCCATAATTCCCCCCTTCCAAAAATCAGTGTGCAAACATATCCAAACACCGAATCGAAAAAACACACACACACACATAGTTCCCCCCTCCCAAATTCAGCGTGTGAAAAAACCCAAACACCGAATCGAAAAAAACTCCAAAAATTGCCCCCCTCCAAAAATTCAGTGTGCAAACATATCCAAACACCGAATGCAAAAAAAGAAATAATAACACACGTAGTTCCCCCCTCCCAAAATCAGCGTGTAAAGAAACCCAAACACCGAAGCGAAAAAAACTCCAAAAATGCGCCCATAATTCCCCCCTGCCAAAAATCAGTGTGCAAACATATCCAAACACCGAAGCTACCAAAAACGAAGCGAAAAAAAAACCATAATTCCCCCCTCCCAAAATCAGCATGTAAAGAAACCCAAACACCGAAGCGAAAAAAACTCCAAAAATTCGGCCAGAAATTCCCCCCGCCCAAAAAACAGTGTGCAAACATATCCAAACACCGAAGCTACCAAAAAATCAAAAAAATAATGAATAACGCCCATAGTTCCCCCCTCCCACAACAAGAGTGTAAAGATGCACAAACGTCGAATCGAAAAAATCCGGAAGTGTGCCCATAATTCCCCCTTCCCAAAATCAGCATGTGAAGAAACCCAAACACCGAATCGAAAAAAACTCCAAAAATGCGCCCATAATTCCCCCCTTCCAAAAATCAGTGTGCAAACATATCCAAACACCGAATCGAAAAAAACACACACACACACACATAGTTCCCCCCTCCCAAATTCAGCGTGTGAAAAAACCCAAACACCGAAGCGAAAAAAACTCCAAAAATTGCCCCCCTCCAAAAATTCAGTGTGCAAACATATCCAAACACCGAATGGAAAAAAGAAATAATAACACACGTAGTTCCCCCCTCCCAAAATCAGCGTGTAAAGAAACCCAAACACCGAAGCGAAAACAACTCCAAAATGCGCCCATAATTCCCCCCTGCCAAAAATCAGTGTGCAAACATATCCAAACACCGAAGCTACCAAAAACGAAGCGAAAAAAAACCCATAATTCCCCCCTCCCAAAATCAGCATGTAAAGAAACCCAAACACCGAATCGAAAAAAACTCCAAAAATGCGCCCATAATTCCCCCCCCTCCCAAAATCAATGTGTAAACATACCCAAACACCGAATCGAAAAAATACAAAAACACACATAATTCCCCCCTCCCAAAATCAGCGTGTAAGGAAATCCAAACACCGAAGCGAAAAAACTCCAAAAATGCGCCCAGAATTTCCCCCGCCCAAAAAACAGTGTGCAAACATATACACACACACCGAAGCTAGCAAAAAATCAAAAAAAAAGAATGCCCATAGTTCCTCACTCGCAAAATCAGCGTGTAAACAAACCCAAACACCGAAGCGAAAAAAGCCCATAACTCCCCCCTCCCAAAATCAGCGTGTAAAGAAACCCAAACACCGAATCGAAAAAAATCCAAAAATGCGCCCATAATTCCCCCCTCCCAAGAATCAGCGTGTAAAGAAACCCAAACACCGAATCGAAAAACTCCAAAAAAGCGCCCATATTTCCCCCCTCCCAAATCAGTGTGCAAACATATCCAAACACCGAATGGAAAAAAGAAAAAAAACACACATAATTCCCCCTCCCAAATTCAGCATGTAAAGAAAGCCAAACACCGAAGCAAAAAAACTCCAAAAATGCGCCCATAATTCCCCCCTCCCAAAAATCAGTGTGCAAACATATCCAAACACCGAAGCTATCAAAAAATCAAAAAAAAAACACACATAGTTGCCCCCCTCCCAAAATCAGCGTGTAAAGAAACCCAAACACCGCAGCGAAAAAAGCCCATAACTCCCCCCTCCCAAAATCAGCGTGTAAAGAAACCCAAACACCGAATCTAAAAAAACTCAAAAAAAGCGCCCATAATTCCCCCCTCCCAAAATCAATGTGTAAACATATCCAAACACCGAATCGAAGAAAGAAAAAGAACACATAGTTCCCCCCTCCCAAAATCAGCGTGTAAAGAAACCCAAACACCGAAGCGAAAAAAAACTCCAAAAATGCGCCCATAATTCCCCCCTCCCAAAAATCAGTGTGCAAATATATCCAAACACCGACGCTACCAAAAAAAAATAAAAATAAAAATAACACACATAGTTGCCCCCCTCCCAAAGTCAGCGTGTAAAGAAACCCAAACACCGAATCGAAAAAAATCCAAAAATGCGCCCATAATTCCCCCCTCCCAAAATCAGCGTGTAAAGAAACCCAAACACCGAATCGAAAAACTCCAAAAAAGCGCCCATATTTCCCCCCTCCCAAAAATCAGCGCGTAAAGAAATCCAAACACCAAATCGAAAAGAAATACAAACACACATAGTTCCCCCACGCAAAATCAGCATGTAAAGAAACCCAAACACCGAAGCAAAAAAAACTCCAAAAATGCGCCCATAATTCCCCCCTCCCAAAAATCAGTGTGCAAACATATCCAAACACCGAAGCTACCAAAAAATCTAAAAAAACACACACATAGTTGCCCCCCTCCCAAAATCAGCGTGTAAAGAAACCCAAACACCGAAGCGAAAAAAACTCCAAAAATGCGCCCAGAATTCCCCCCTGCCAAAAATCAGTGTGCAAAGACAACCAAACATCGAATCGAACAAAAAAAGACGCCTATAAGTCCCCCCTGCCCAAGATCAGTGTGCACAGAAATCCAAACACCGAATCGAAACAAACTCCAAAAAAGCACCCAGAATTCCCCTCCCAAAAAACAGTGCATAAAGATACCCCAAGATAAGTGTGTAAAGAAATCACAGAACAAAAAACATCCAAAAATGCGCCCAGAATTCCCCCCTCCCAAAATCAGTGCGTAACAAAAAAATCCAAAAATTGGCCCATAATTCCTCCTCCCCAAATCAGCGTGTAAAGAAACCCAAACACCGAAGCGAAAAAAACTCCAAAAATGCGCCCATACTTCCCCCTTCCCAAAATCAATGTGTAAACATACCCAAACACCGAATCGAAAAAATAAAAAAGGCACATAGTTTCCCCCTCCCAAAAATCAGCGTGTAAGGATACACAAATTAATAAACGAACAAAACATCCAAAAAATGCGCCCCTCCCAAAGTCAGCGTGGACAGAAAACAAAAAACACATCGAAAACAAATTTCAAAACTGCACCCATAATTCCCCCTCCCAAAATCAATGTGTAAAGATATCCAAACACCGAATCGAAAACAGCTCCAAAAATGCGCCCAGAATTCCCCCCTCCCAAAATCAGTGTGTAAAGAAATCCAAAGAAGCAAACGCGACGTGACTGTCTGGCAGCGAAGTACACCAGCAACTCACCATGTTTCACTTTCTGAGGTGCAAACGCATGCAGATGAAGACGAGAAGTGACCTGCGTAGCACGACTTTGCAGCCAGACCGGTGGGCTCAATGACACAGGGACGATGCAAGGTAAGTCGCGTTGTGGCGAGGGGCTCTGATCAATGTTTCTTCAAACTTCATCGGATTCCAGGTTGCATCTGGGTTCTGTGCTGTCGATTGCCTCCCAACTCAACAACTCAACTTCGCGCCCTGTGACACTCTTCTGAGAGCAATCTTCTCGAGGAGGTACTTCCACCCCACATCCTGGAAAAGTTGCCCTGGCCATGCCACCTGCCACCTGCCACCTGCCACCTGCCCAGCACCATGGCTTCAAGGGAGGCGGCGGGCCTCTGAGCTGTTTGAGTCTGGAGTTCTGTGCTCTGCGCTCCTTCCTCCAAAAGACGGCGCCCACACTGCTACATTGCCCCAAGGAAGAAAGCTGCCCACGCCCTGCTCTCTCGTGCTGCGCTGTGCTCTCCTGGGAGGGACTCCCGGGCCTTCGCTTCGGGGGCCGAGGGGCTCCCGCCAGCTTTGCCGGTCCCGGGACCGGGCTTCTGATGACTCCCCTTTTTCCTCTCCACAGTTTGTGTCCGAGGTCCGAGGTTTTCTCAAAAGGCATGGCATGGGAAGGTTTGTTTTTTTGGGACGGGTCGGGAGTTTAGGGCTGAGGGTTCAGGGTTCGGTGTTCCGCTCGATGGATCGGGAGACTCGTGTGGCCACGTGACACTGTCCAGCCTTCTTCTCCGGACATGCAGCAGGAGCTGTAGAGGTGTCGACATGCCGCGGGGCAGCCACCCAGAGTACCTCGACAGTGGCAATACACTTCACGGAAGCACAATGAATGCGTCTGCCACCCATAGTCCACAGGGGGAACTTCTTGAGGTCTTCAGCGCCGACTTCTTCCCTGAACAACGATTCGACCTCCACCGTCACCTTTGCAGGTCTGGCATGGCCAATTCGACTGGCGCCCTGAGACAACTAGGGTATTGCGGGCTGCAAGCGTATAGTTCCGGCAGATATGTCACAAGTACCCGCAACCACGATCACCGCGCATCACCTTCCTGCAGACAGATGCCTGACAGCCTGACAGCTCTAGTGTGCAGTTGCCCCCCCCCCACTGCAAGCGGCGGAAGTCTGCCAGAACGGGGGCCGGGCCGGATGCCGTCATGAGCCCCCAAGAGTCGGAAAGCAGAGGCAGCAGAATTTCACACATCTGAGCTGCAGTTGGCCGAGCAAAGGCAAAGGCATAGAGTCCCCGAACCGAAGCGAACATATAGCAATCCTCCGGGACAGCTTCCCCCCGCTCCCTGCAGGCGCCGCTCTTCTTCCGCGCCTTTTTGTTAGAAAAAGGGGGGATCCGATCTCTTCTCTCTTTGCCAACAGCTGCTGCTTCCGCTTCCGCCGACAAAACGCAGAGATGAAACCCTGCGCGAACGGCGACGTGTGAGAGCACTGCAGTGTCGAAAGAAACGCCCAGCCTCGGCATACTCTGCGATTCCACTTCTGGGGAACCCTTGCACTGCAGAGTCCACGCCACACAAGCAGAACGGACCATCAAGCGGTCTCCCTGAGCCGCATAAACAAATCGGATTCTCAGTTTTTCTCGAACGCACAGCACCAGCAGCGGTAGTATCCAGCCTCGCTTGCATCGATGAGCAAACCGTGCTCCAGACAAAGCTCGGCGTCCGAGGTGCCGAAGCCAAACACGGCAGGCTCAAGGCTTGCAGTTCCGCCTGCATTCACTTGGGAGATCGGCTTAATGGCGCCAGCACATCCACCGGCCCTGAGAGATACCGGAAGGGCTCCAGACCAACGCAGCAACGTACACGAACGCATTGAAAGAGCTCATCGCTGTATGGCCCCACGACCTCGAGCAGACTTGCGAAAAGCTGAAAAGTCTCCAAGCCGGCGCACACGCGGCCGGCAAAGCAAAGTCAGTAGGTAGCTTTGAAGTGCCATCATTGGCTATGCCGGCCACAGGCAAACAACCTTCCGACATGGTGAGTTTTAGCCTGACCGTCTCGGCTCGAAGAAGCAACCGCTGAGCGGGCCCCTGGGCACCTCTCTCCGAAACTCCGAAGACGAAGCGCAGCGGCGCAGCACACCCAAAGTCAAAAGTCGCCCCTCGTCTCGTATCGTCTCGTCTCGTCCGTTGCACACCACGCAGAACGGTGAACAGCGCGGAGCGGCGCGAAGGAAGCGGCGCAAAACGCGAACGCCCTGCCTGTCACAACGAGAACGGCGAGAAAAGCAAAAGTCAGGAAGAAGAGGAAAGGCAACCCCACCCATTTGGCCACGTGACACTGTCCAGCCTTCTTCTCCGGACATGCAGCAGGAGCTGTAGAGGTGTCGACATGCCGCTGGGCAGCCACCCAGAGTACCTCGACAGTGGCAATACACTTCACGGAAGCACAATGAATGCGTCTGCCACCCATAGTCCACAGGGGAACTTCTTGAGGTCTTCCGCGCCGACTTCTTCCCTGAACAACGATTCGACCTCCACTGTCACCTTTGCAGGTCTGGCATGGCCAATTCGACTGGCGCCCTGAGACACACACCTAGGGTATTGTGGGCTGCAAGCAGGCCACCCCGCTTGTGAAGGTGATTCCAAAAACCTTTTGCCTCAGAGGAATGGAATTATTCACAGCTTCTGCGGTCAGTGCCCAACGCCATCGCAGGCTGGCGGCGCAAAGCATGGCACAGAGCACCAGGGCGACTCAAAGCAAGTTTCTGGCCTGAAGAGCACTTATCTTCTTCTCTCTGAGCCGTATGGCAGGAGAAAGACGGCTTCTTATTGCTGACGGGCATCTGAGCTGACAATCGAAGCCACCATCAGACGGAGTTCTCGAAAAGCCTGCAGGCAAGATCTAACCGTCGCTCTTGGAACTCCCACTTTGTTCGCCCAGCCTTCAGGACTCGGATGACCTAAGCTCCCACACAGCTCAGTTGCAAGGCCGTGCGGCGAGCGAAATGATGCTCACCGAAAGCTGAAGGTTGACGTGAAGCCGCCCTTGCTCTGCGGACCAGACGCAGCACGCGGATGATCCTCACGACCTGCACTGGGAAACGCTTGCATGATGGTGTCGGGCTCATCCTGTCGCTCGCTGAGCTAAGACAGGGGCCGAAAAGTTTGTCATCAAAGCTCCAGTCTCAGATCCTGCAAGAACCATCGTCTCGGTGACCACCTCCATGCAGCCCATTTTTCGAGCAGGATCCACGACATTTCCTCGACAGGGCGACCATTCTCAGACGTCGAAACAGCAGCCCACGCTGCCAGCAGCGCACGGCAACAATGCACAAGTTGCTTCACTGCAAATGAAAAACAGGAACCCATCTGCAAGCCAGCGCGTGAGTAGGTCCAGAAAGACTACTACAAAGAACATAATCTGTGCAACCTCATGGCAAAACTGGAACGTCGAGGGCAAGCACAGGCAGCGTAAACCTAAGCCTCCAGGCTCCAGTCAGCGTGGCCGGACACAGATTTGACGCAAATCGCTCAAAAAAAACCCACCACCGGACTCAATCCCAAACTTCAGGCTTCCACAATCCTCCACATTTTCAGGATCTCCCAGCGCCCGAGCCCCTGGGGCCGTAGCAGAGGGCCAGGTCCAGAGCCGAAGCCGAAGAGCCGAGCGAAGAGCAAGCCGAGCCTGCGGCTCAAATTAGTTTGCACTGGGCCACGAGAGGCGAAGATCGAAGGATTGCGAAGGCAAGCCTTCGGCTTAAAGCACAGCGTCCTTTCACTCTCCGGCTCCCACTGCAGTCCAGCATGGCCTGCACTAACTCTGAAGGTTAAGCCTGTGCCCACCTCGACACCCTATGACCATCCACGTCTCCTTGCGCCAGGTTCCGATCCTCTACAGGAGATGCCGCCAAGCTGCATAGAAGAATGCGCGAACAAATACCTGATCATCTTTGTTGTCGGTCTGGGCCAAATGTTCCTAGGCTCGTAAAGCGAGGCACGGCGAAGAATCACACAGAATCCAAAAGAAGGCTGATCACGATGCATGCACAAACACTGTAGGTTCGCCGAGACTCTGTCTGCCAACAGACGAAGATAGCATTCACAAAAATCAGCACAGCACCTCGGGCGCATGCGGATCCAGAAACTCGCACAGAGGATCTGAATGGAAATGACAAAAGACGGCTATGCACAAATGCGCATGAAAATGCATCAGAACAGGGCTTCAAGTCGATGCTCTACTATAGGCGACTAAACAGTTAATTGGCAGATATAAGTGGTACTATCCAAACACGATCAGTGTACAGTATAGCTGACGGTTTGTTTGTCGTGCACGTCTGCTTCTTGAAACCCAGGCCCAGACTGCTTCCGAGCTCAATCCAGGCGGCTGCACATCTCATAGCCGGTGCTGTGAACGCAGTTCTGGCAACCACGACTGGTGAACTTCGACATCATCTGTAGTCCTCACACCATGAGGGAATGCCATCATGCCGAAAGCCAGTGCAAAAAACCTAGTACCACCGTACCACCCCCGCTCGTTCTGCTTCCGCTTTAGGCAGCGACCAGAGAGGAGCCGAGGGCCGAGCCGAGGAGTCCCCGCTCTGTTTGGAGTGAAACCTTCGGCCTCCGGCCCCAGAGGCCCCAAAGAAGCCGCCCAAGGCCCCCCCAAGGCCCCCCCAAGGCCCCCCCTCTCCGCTCTGCACTAACGCTGGAGGGTTTAGGGACTGTGCCCACCTCGACTAGGACCACATCTCCCGGCCCCGGCAGCGCACATCACAACCCGACCGGCTTCGAAGTAGATTTTGGCCATGGCATACGATTGTCCTACATGACCCTATGCCGCTATGAGAAGCTGCGCATGATCAAGACCGACCGTGCAATCCTTGACATCCCAAACTTCGCCGTTGCTTCAGGGCTCGTCGCTCAAGCCACCGAGGAAAGTGCGAGCAGACACGGGCCGCTCAGAGCTGAACACCCCGCCCCCCGCCGCATTGAAGGCCAGGTCAGAGATTTTTCTGAAGAGCCGCCCCCCGCTTCGAAAGACACCCAGGGAGGATTGCCCCCCGCCTCCTGGGCGCGATGGCTCTTCTCGTACCCTAGCGATGGTGCAGGCCTCAGATGCGCACCGAATTTCACTGCGCAGCAACTCTCTTTGAGAGTGAAGAGAGCATCGCCATAAAGTGCCGGCAGAAACAAAGTGCGCCTGAGTAAACGAGTTTGGGACTTCTGAAATCGAGGCTTGGAGACCCGTCTACGTAGCATTGAATCGAAGAGGATACGGGCCTGAGGTTTTTCACCTTGTCGCTCTCAAATTGCCCGGTTGCATGGGAAATTGCAATTGCAAAAGCAGGCTCTCACGCTGGAAAGGTCGACTGCCGCTGCCCCTCGGTCGATTTCGCTTATCCTCGAAAATTCTCCAGGACGTCTCTCCTCGTCGCTTTTGGAAGTTTCTGCCATCCAAGTGGTATTGACGATCTCAGTCGGTCTCAGTCTCCATCAGCATCCGTCTTCTCCAGAGGGTTAGGGGGTGGAGGTGGGGGGGCCGCAGGTTACACCAACTGCCGCACCCTCAGCCCCTGAAACCCCATCAAAAACCGCAAGAACCCCCCCCCTTTTCCGTTTGGCTTCGACTGCCTCTCTCCGCTTTTTGGGTTTAGGGGGGGGATGTCCATAATGTGGCTCCCAAAAAGCCGAGATGCAGGCGCTCCCAACTGCACCACCCGCCATGGCCCCCCCCCAAGACTCCCCCCAAAAAGGAGGTCCCCCAGAGAGAGCCCCCCGAAAATAGGGGACCCTGTTTTAGTTCCCCAAATAGTAGTAAGGACCCCAAAATAAGGTCCCCCCCTCATTTCAGAAAGGAGCCCCCAAGACTGCACCCCCCAGGGAGCGAGCGAGGCGAGGGCCCCCAAAGGAGCGAAGGAGCGCGCCCGGAGGCCCAGGGCCCCCCCCGGCCCGGCCTTTTTGGCGAAGCGAAGCCGGGAGGTCTTTGTGTGTGTCTGGGGATGAGAGGGATGAGAGGAATGAGAGGCCCTAAGAGGGGGATACTTGGGCTCATGGCTTGAGGGTTTGAGGGTTTAGGGGTTTTTTGTTGGAGAAGGTTTGGGGGTTTAGGGGGGGATCTCATATGTGAAGCAGCTTGCTTACTCTGCCCCGCTTCTGTCACACATGAAAGCATCCGCCGGAGCGAATCTCTGTGTGGGGGGTGAGTGCGAAGGGCAGAAAGCTGCGAGGAACTGTATCCGCTGGATGGCGCGATGGTGCGAGGAAGAAGGCCTTTCAGACAGTGTGGGGGGTGGTGGGGGTTTCTGACGGTTGGCATCGTATCGGTGCTAGTTGGACTTGCTCGGGAGTTCTTGGGATTGCGGAGTCGTAGGCTTACCTTCGGGCTCGCTCTGCCTGCGGAAACATTTTAGAGATGTCGAGGGGCTGTCGAAAAGGCGCAAGCGGGGTCCTGGCATCGCTCGCGTCCAGCGTCATCGTGTTGAAGTCGGCCTGAGCGAATTGGAGCAGTAGTCAGGGTTCGCAGGTTCGCAATGATATAGGCAATACAGGGTTTGTTCTTGGAGTTCGGGGATCGGTTGTTTCGACAGACAAGACACGCCACGAACGGAGTAACAGATGCCCGAGTTGACTGCTGCCGGGTTACAGCTGGATTTCGAACTCCTGCTGCGTAATGCTGCCATCCCCACTGGAATCAAGCTCGCTGAGAACATCCCTGATCTAATTCATGCCTGAGCTTTGCGGCTGTGACCGTTCCGAGCAGACACATTCAACAATGGTAAAAGCATGGAAAACAATAACAACAAGAAGAAAACAACTAACAAGGAGAATGACAATGCCTCCACAAGTTGGTGTGCAGCTGGGCGTCGCAACCTCTTCTTCCGCAGCTCCTCCTGAACCGAGAGCTCCTTGTCCACCTGGTTCTTCTCGATCGCCGTGTCGACGAAAACGCCTGCAGAGTAAGCGCAGGGACTCGTTCAGAGTTGCGCGAAGCAGCACGAAACCCCTGCCTGCCACAACATTGAGAACCTCACGCAGACACGCGCAGACACGTGCAACTCTGGCATCTCGAGGTGTGGACTTTGCGTCTTCGGCCTCTGCCTTTTGGAACTGTTGCTGCTGTGATAGTGCACACGAAGGACACTTGCTCACACGGGGTCAGCCGAGAAAGCTGACGACTCCACGGCAAACAACCCCTTTGCATCCTGCTCAGATCTGCTTCTCCGCTCAAACCCGACTCGGACAGAAGGAAAGCAAGCTGCTGAGGCCGAGCAAACTTGCAAACTCTGCAACTCAAACCCTTCTAGGATGATTCCAGAAATGTCTGGCCCGATTCCGCTGGCTACAGGGTCCTTCAAGCTTCCTTCGTTGTCAAAGAACAACATATTCGATCTCACATGAGAATACACGTACGAAGTATTCACATTCCTCTTTGTGGGCAAATCCCGTCAAAGTTATTTCAGGACATATTCATCTGCGCTTATGCATCTCGCGTCTTATGAACACAGCTGAGATCTCTCTGGATCACATTTCAGCACATGTGGGGAACATTTTACTATCTATCGGGATGTCCGAAGCGCAGTAATTAATTTGCACCCGCAGGCAGAATGTCGCGTTCCAAATGCTGGTGGCAGCAGCTTGGATTTCAGTTTCGGGCTGAGCTGAGCATGACAAGACAAGAAGTAAGATTTTGCACTGAAGCTGTCGATGTTTGGAGGCCTGCACACCCAAAATATTCGACCATGTTTAAAACACCCAGAAACTATGGGCACTGAGTACTCTTGCTAACACTACGAATATCTGATTTTAACATGAGGATCATTGTTGTGATTGGGCTGATTCTAGACGGGATAGGGCCGAAAACGGTGCAAATCGATGGTACTTTAAGCCAAGCTGGGAGCCGAGCATGACCTCATGCAGCAGCTTCCCCTACGCCGCCTGCGCTCTGATCATGCAGAACAGAAGTACCGAAATGCTCAAATCCCCAAGGCTTGCACCAGCCGCCTGGCTGCGTTGCTGCTGGAGGCATGGCCATGAAAGAATTTGCAACCAAAGGAAGCCTAGATCGGCCTGGAGAACGTTGTGGCAGCTTTTGGCTACGCAAGTGTTGGATGCGCCTGTGGTCAGTGTTGCTCGTCAATCTCGAGCTTCTTATGACAAAGGCTTGTCACCACAACTTCGACCACAAGCTCTCGAACTCAACTCTATAAGATTCTTCTTCGCAAGTCTGCTAGTTCCATCTTTGACCATGAAGAATGCCCTCCAAGTGCGGTTGTCATACACCTGCCGTGCTTGTGGCACAATCCTCATCCACACTCCACTACAATGCACTGCACTGCACTACACTACGCAGCTGCTACAGTACAACAACTACGCTGTTCATACACTCCGCTGGCTCGACCATTGAACCGATGCTTGACTCAAGCGTAAGCGTTCCTTGGTCCTGTAAACCCGTAGAGGTTTTGATGCTCTCAGTAGCATCGCAAGGAAATGGACCCAAAATCAAGCACTTGGATCAGCCTATTCGAAGGGTCCATCGCCGTCGTTTGCTCCAGTTTGTCTTGGAACACAGTGCGAGAAGCATGGCAAGCCGATATTTCGTATGTTAATAACTGTTAGCATTGTTCACCATGTCCTCCCCATTATGATGTAATGCGGAACACAAAACGCCAAAAACTCCAAATTTCTGCGCGGCCGATGTTGCTGACTTTACATGCGTATGTCAACTGTTCAACATGGCGTCCCCGTTGTGGTGTTGGGCTGGGCAAAAAACCAAAAAATCGATGTTTCTGCGCGGCCGGACTTGCTGATTTGTAGAGGGCGGTGCAACGTTTTTATTCACCCCGGCAGCAGAAAGACTGTCTGACTCAACAGCTCTTTGGTTTAGGCATGGTTGCTCTGGCCAATGGATAGGCTGGTAGCATGAATGTTCTCATGGGTTCTACATTTCCATGTAGCCCCGAAATGTGCTTATAGAAAATCTTATTCCCGGAACTCGATTCCGCAATCGAATCATAATCAATCCAATCATTTAAACATCGGCTGTATTCCCCAATACACTTCTGTGGGAAGTCGAATATATAAAACAGCATATGAAATTGGAAGGCAAAGGGGCTCAAGATTTTCGCACATGCGATCTGGGATTCGAGCATTCGTGAAACACATCCTGCATGACACAAGTGGAATCGCATAGCTAGCCCCATTGGGCAGTGACCATTGTCACGAAGCGAGGACCATATCCCCAAGTCAAGACGAGCGCAGTAATTCGCCCGTGGCAAAACAAGCAGGATGGTCCCGGATCGCATGATCACACATCGGAAAGATCCAACAGCCCCTCGAAGGGGGATCTTTTTTTTCATTCACACGCTTTAGTCGAGTCTACCCGTATCAGCGAATGGATACAGGAACGGCCTTTTCAGGCACGGGACTACTACGATGCCGCTTCCCAGGGCGGCAGGCCGACTATTGCGGCCATGAAAAGAGAGCTAAGTACCACGTCCTACTGATCTCATTTAGGTCAGTAGAGTTAGCTACGACAGTCGGAGTGTCATCGTTCTGTACATGGGGGGCCGGATGGGCGGCGTCCTCGGCAAGGCTCCTTTGGAGCTCACTGTAGAAGGCAGCAGTCGGCTCCCCCGTGGGGGCCGAAATACCCATTGAGCGGTAATGGCCTGAGTCCGGAGTGCATCCGATGTGGTACACTACCGAGTTGAGCACATAGGTGCAGGGCTCTGAGTGAACACCATCGGTGAATGTGGGCACCTGCAGCCGTGGCGAGAGATTAACTCTGTGTTGCAGTTTCCCCACTTCGCCTCTGAGGTCCCCACTGAATCTCATAAGCTGAATGCTCAGGATCGGTGGGGGTCTGACGAGTGCCGTAACCTCTCCCGTGTCTTGCTCATAGGTCCAATCCTCAATGAGCTGCTGCAGAGTTTTGTTGGGCTTGCATGGTAGTGTGATGAGTGGCACAGGGCTCATTCGCTGATGAGCATGAAGAAGGGGCCCTTCCGTAGATCGGGCTTCCCATGAGCCATGAATGCCTGGCAGGCGTGCATGATCAGCGAGGAATGTGAAGAATTCTGCCACGTCGTGTTGCTGCTGCAAAATCAAGCCACGCCTTCCTCCGATAGAGCTGAACCGATCCATTCGGATTGAGAAGGGGTCTCAGGAGCTGATGAAGATCCCCAAAGTGAGAATTGCGATCTGAGGCCCGAGCAGTGTAGATCCACATGAGTGCCTGTACAAGCGAATTGAGGTAGCACAGGTTGTGTGGGTTGGCAAGAACAAGCAATGGAGGCGGTTCCAGATCAATGTGAGCAGCGACTAACGGATTTTTTGCCGCTCTCGATGATGCAGCTGCTGATGTCCCCGAGTTCTCAAGCCATTGCTTGAGCGTCCCCTTGTTCCCTGTGTTAGGGATATCCCCTTGCTGATGTGTCAGCTTCCCCTTTTGGGGGCCGAATTTCGGCTTCCCTGGATGGCTTTCTGCCTTCTGACCTCTTCTGTCATTGCGTTGCAGGTCTTCAGGCAATACACCTGCTGGCAGGGCTTCGAGCTGTTTCAGCTTCCCCATGCTGAAAATGGTTTGTTTCGGGGCCGATGTTGGCTCCCCTTCCTCCCTGGTATCCTCCGGGGCCGTCGGCGGCTGCCCCTTTTGCTGAATTTTCTTCATTGATCTGTCTTCAGAAGCTGCAGGAGCTCCTTTGGTAGCGGTCGATGGCTTCGCTCCGGGCGCAGCCTGACTCCGATGAGCCGCAGCACTGAGTTTTCGGTCATGGCGGTCAGGGCTTCCCTGATTTTCGCCTTGTCTGGGGCCTCCTGAGAGATGGTCAGCTTGAACATTTTGACCTTGCTCGGTTCCGACTTCTCCTCCGGGAGACCGCCCATTGCGAAGAATGAGTGCATCGTGTATAAAGGTCAGGGCCCGCTCGTGTGCCAGGGGCTCTCTGTCGGTGGGCACTTGGGTTTGCTTCTCTGCGTCCCACTTGGTGTACGACCATCGTAGTGGGTTGGCTGCCAAGATCCCCGTCGCAATCAACTTGGATTGCGCCTCTTTGTCTGTGCTCAGCTTCCCCATTCTGGCTTCCATCTCCATCAACAATGCGCCCATCAGGGCTTGACGGAGGCCGCAGTCGCACGTGCCCTGTGCTCGGCTCTTCTTCCATGTTAGGGTCGTCTTGAGCAGTTGTTGAGTGATCCCCAGGTCCCCTGCGTCCATGAACATGATCCAAGAGCGATCTGCTTCCAGAAGCTGCAAGGCTGTCTCGTGTCGAGCCATGATCTTTGCAAGGGCCAGTATTTGCGCATTCGGGGGCAATCGCGCTGGAGGGGCCGATTTCGGCTCCCTGTCGCAGGTTCTTTTTCGTTCTGGCCTTCCCGCCCCTTTGCCGTTCAGTCTCTGCGCTTTGGCTCTGGGTGTGGTGACCAGTTCCTCGTCGGGGGTCCTCGTCCATTCGCTCCATTCTCCCCATGCGGGAGTTGGCCCCCCACAGGGTGGCTATCTGTGCAAGGGCCTGGTTGTCTGACATGGCTCTGCAAGACTCTAAGCTGAAGGAGAGGGAGGCACCTACCTGCATGAACCTTCGGAGTTTTGGTATAAGTATCCCTGCAAAACTTGCAAGGTCTGGAGAGTACGGTGGCTTTCATCCCTTCTGCGACGCGATCTTGTAGCTGAGGGGCGCACCATATGTCCTGATGGGTCTTGGCCATGTGCCGTCTCCAGTCCTGTTGATTAGTGACGGGGGTGGCACAAAATCCACAATGTCTTTCAAGGAATTGCAGTAGCGGCCTGTCGGCTTCCCCAGCGGGGGCCGTAGTATCCTGAAGCAAGTCGCGTACTTTTTCTGGAGTGAAATGCTGAGGGGAGACGGTGGGTTGGGTGGAGGTTTCTGGCTGACCCGCCTGGCACCAGGCGCTGGCCAGTGCTACCTGGAAAATGACAACGCAGTTACGAACATGGCGATCCGCTGAATAGACCTTTTGCTGGCAGAGTTCACAATCGTGATCCCTGTGGATCAGATCCCTGTATTCTTCACATTTGCTGGTAAAGTGATCTAGTCCAGCATCCCAAATTGCGGGGTGCATACGCTTGATGTGCTCTTTGACGGATCCCTGCTTAGCTATCCATTGCCCACAAAAACCACAGTGTGCATGAAGAATAGGTGCCCATGCTGCAAGGCTGTGGAGTGGGACTGGGGGTTGCTTAAGGAGGGCAACTGCCGTCTGCGTACGCAGGATGGGTGGGAAGGGGGATCAGCGGGATTGGATTGAGAAGGCACACGAGCATACCACCCGATGCAAGGCTTGGCATCCGCCTTTTCAAGATGGATAAGCAGAGATCTCCAAAGCTCATCCCCCGATGTGCAACTGATGGTAGCAGAGAGCACTCCCACATGGTCAATAAAGTAAAGCACCCTTCGATCGTCGAGGAGTCGACCCCAGACGAATCGCGCGAGTACTAAAGCATACAACTCGACAAGCCCTATTAGGTGCTTCTTACGGCCCATAGGTCGACCAAGGAGTCACTCAATGTGACCCCGAAGTATCGAACCTTAACAGCCCCGTTCCAAGAAGCATAAAGCACACCTCCAACGGTGCAAAGCGGCCGAGTAGCACCAGGCTCACAGGCGCCATCAGTGTAAACAACAAGAGAAGGTCCAGAGCTACCAACCTGTATGCGTCTGGGTTCGCCAGCATCCATGCGCATCTGCAAAACAGCAAAGGCCTCACGATCAATAGGAGAAAGCCGATGAACGCCTGAGCCTCGCGAGAGCTTCCTAAGCGTGCTCAAAGCCAGCTTGCCCCTGCGGCCCATGATTTGAGAATCGGCATACTGAATCCTCCCAAACAAGCTGTCGACTTCTCTGACCACCACTTGGCCATCCGATAGGACTTTAGCGACCGACTCGGAAATTTCGCGAGCCCTGTCAGGCTTGTTAGCAACAGTGACGCAAGAAAAATCCTTAGCCCTAAGATCCAGGCGAACCCCCAAAAGATCGGCAACCGAAGAAAAGGGCAACTCCTTATCCTCTGAGCAGACCACGCCCAAGAAACGCATGAGCTTGCGGATCGTCCTCTCGGTATTGGCCGAGAGCATACTCACATCGAGCACTGGATAATCGTCATAATAGTTGCAGGCCAGGCACTCCAGCTCGACAAGGATGCGGTGAATCAAACGGGCAACGCGATTGAACTGCCCCACGCTCGCGAGCGAGCCGAAGGGAAGGGTATGCGAAATGAAACCGACGGCTTGACCGTCGGAGGGCTGCCTGAGGCTGACCACACACCTCTTGCTGTCACATGGCCTTATAGCATACTGTTTGTACGCAGATTTCAAGTCCACGCACTTCAAAACCGGGCGCGCGGACTCAGGCCGCGTGCGCCAAACGGTGTGCAAAGGGCCGCTGATCACTTCGCCAGAGGAAAGACGAAGATTAACAGAACCTCGGTCAACGATGGATTGCATGAGCCTTGAGGTTATCCAAAGAAGTTCGTCCATCGCACGCAGGTCAATCTTCTCCGCCACTTCCCAGGACGAGTTAACACTGTTCTCGGACAAATCGTCAATGCACCTCAGCTTCCTTCTTTGGAAGATCGCGGATCTCCTAACAGGTATCCAGTGCGGACCCAAGATCTCCTTTTTTTGGCGTGAGCGGGCCTCGTCGGCTACGGCTGTAGCACTCGGTCCCTACAAACAAGCAAACCAATAAACCAACGAAACAGCGGTGAGACAGAATACCTAATTAGAGAGGGCGGAACTAGCTGCGGCGCCCAGGCTTTGCCGGGGTTGGCCGTTCAGCACCTGCTACGGGTCCTCAGCGATCGTTCCACAACAACAGTGGGCCGTCGCCCAAAGTCGCCCAAGACCATCAGTGGAGCCCGAGTCAAGGCTCCGGCCGCCGTTCTAGTTCCGTCGAACAACGGTCGGCCCCGAGGTCCTGTTGTGTCCCGATCGTGCACGCCAAAAATCCACAAGTCCAGAAGCCCAAGGCCAGTGGCAATGGACCCGTCGACGTATGTCGACAGGTTGGACACTGTGGACAGCCAATGATTCCCAGGGCGAAAAGGGACTCGCTCCTAGGCAGGAGGCCATCCATCGAGTGTGCGCTGCATGTCGTTGCCACTTCGTGGAAAGTGGGATTCTCGCAGAAGATACAGCAATTGATACTGGCCCTCATCATACAATTTTTTGAGGCGGTGGAAGCCGTACTGGAGAGTGTCCAGATCAGGTTCATGAAGATGCGGCATAAGCTCATTGGAAATGAAAGCGAGCTGGAGGCCAGGGCCAAGTCCACCCTGTTCGATGAAAGCATGGGCCGCTGCACGCCACTCGTCTTGCCCCCACGTGTGCCCGAGACGATATCGAGGTTGGCTACCGTCAGGCAAAACACCCTGATTGGATTCTTGTGCCACTAAACGATGTGCGGACCCAAGATCTCAATAAGCTCCTGGTAACTATATGGGCCGCTCAGCCAGGACTTCTGATCCCTCTCGGCAAGAGTCTGGCTCCAAAGCTCGGCATCGAAATCCCCAGGTTTTGATGAGGAGATTTTGGCCCACAAGGCCGGTCGCAAGAACTTCGCTCTTTGATCAAGCTCTTCCTCAGTGAACTCCGAAAGCTTATAGGAGGGCGCGAAAACCCCCGTGACAGGTGCGGAACCCACTATGCCGAACCCCTCCTTAAGGTCCTTAAAAAGATCCTCATCTGGCCAGGCAAGGGATGTGGCAATGCGATCCAGCAGCAACAACTTCTTGCCGGAGAGGACCGCGCCAACTCTCGGATCAAGCGAAGCATGAAGAGCTTTCTTAGGTTCGGCCAGCTTATTGGCCCACGCAGACCACTTGGAAAGTAAGTCAAGCCGGCGTCGCATGACGGGCAGAGTCGCCCTTAGTCGATCGTTGCGTAAATATATATAAGTCAAACACCTTGCGCTACGTGGCCTGGGAAAATTGCACTAGCCGGCTTGCCGAGATTCAAGATAATGCCAAAAAGGACACTTGATTCACACTTGATGCTTAGGGTAAGATCTTGAAGCTTGAGGCAAAGGCCCTGGATGACAAGTGTCAAGTCGATTCCGAAGTGCATCTTCTTCAAGCTTTACAGCGCAGAGCCCTTGCCCTGGACCAAGCCAACATTGTCGACTATGCTGTTATTGACGTGTGGCATCAGAAGTTGCTTAGAGCGCGGATGCAGGAAGTGCCAGCAGGGCATGTTGGGTCCAGCTTCAAGCAGCTCTTGCGGGCCGATCAAAAGCTATTTGGAACCCGCCACGTTGGCTGGCTGCCCCTTGGATGGCCTGGTTCCATTGGTGATGGATTTGATGGCAATCCTATTGCAATCCTTGCCTAAATGTCTCTGCCTCTTCCGATGTCCTCCGGGCCCGTGGGTCTTCCGTGAAAGGCCGGGTCCATACACTCAAAAGGGTAAAGGTGGAGGCAAAGCGGGAAAAGGACGGGCCAAGGGGAAGGGGGAAGGGCGTTGCCTGCTTGACTTGGTTCAGTCTTGCCTTTATAATGTTGATCCCGCAACGTAGCGCTTCTTACGCTCAGGCGTGCTATAAGAGACCGACAGGGAGCATCCTTAGTGCGCTTAATCCTGCCTGAACTTGGTGGTAACAATGGCATACGCTGCTGAAACAGAGCCCTGAAGCACGCCTGAGCCGCTTTTTTTTTTGGCGTATGCGGCCTTGTCGACTACGGCTGTAGCACTCGGTCCCTACAAACAAGCAATCCAAACAACAAACGAAACAGCGGTGAAACGAGATACCTAATTAGAGAGAGCGGAACTAGCTGCGGCGTCCAGGCTTTGTTGTGTTCCGATCGTGCACGGAAAAAATCCACAAGTCCAGAAGCCCAAGGCCAGCGGCAATGGAAAGACCCGTCGACGTACGTCGAAAGGTTGGACACTGTGGCCAGCCAATAAGGCCAAGGTAACTCCTTCTAGGTAGAAGGCCATTGATCAAGTATGCGCTGCATGTCATTGCCACTGCGTGGAAAGTGTGCGTTAGAAAGGCGGCCCGCGCCGTTCTCTTTGTGCGTAGTGGGGCATTTCAAGGGCGAGAGAATGCCCGCAAGAAGGGCATGCACCAGCGATGTGCCTTCTCCAGACACTTAACTTGGACAAGGTAATTAACATTAACTAAAGGGAAGACATCGAGCCCGTTCTGCACTTTGCCAACAAGTTTCCGAAAGCCATCGAGAATCCCTTGTTTAACGACGGGAAGGTCCGTTGGCGCGCACTTAGTTTCAAGGCCATCGGCAGCCAGACGACCCCCTCCCGGGAAGGAGCACTTCCATACAAGTTGACGCCAGTAAGAATTCTTTTAGCTAAGCTGGTTCGGGATTCTTGCAGAAGGAACAATACAGGCCCGCATCATACAAGGTTTGGAGGCGGTTGAAGCCGTACTGGAGGGTGTCGATGTCCGGCTTGTGAAGATGCGGCATAAGCTTCTTGGAAATGAACGGGAGCTGGATGCCTGGGCCAGTCCACCTTGTTCAATGAAGGCATGGGCCGCAGCCCGCCACTCTTCTTGTCCTTACGTGTGCCCGAGACGATAGCCGGGTTGATCACTATCAGGCAAAACACCCTGATTGGATTTCTGTGCCACTAAACGATGGATCAGAACTTGGGCCCGACAGTCTCTTGCATCGAAGTGGGCATAGCGCCACAGGCAAACCGGAAAGTAGAAGTCCATTTTCCAAGGGCCGCGTAACCAGAACACAACAACGGTACTAAGCTTCCAACCCCGGGTGGTGGCAGCCGTGCGGAGCCAACAACGCACCGTGCAGTGGTGTGTTGCTTCCTGCACCCGGGTAAAGACACGTTCCGTCTTCTACTTCCCCTGAATAATGCGTCCCTGGAAGTTTGAAGCCCTCTTAGTCCGTATACGTTCAAGTTCCCAGTCAAGAAATATAATGTGAAATATCCATCCAATAGATATTCCAAAATGGGAGCAGACGGAATCGAAATATAATTCCATTCCGAAAGATAGAGAAATGTGCACGCACTCAAACGACATGTTTTCTCGAAAGGAAATGCCGAGTCAACGATCGACCAACCCGACGAGACCCCCAGCCAATGCAGCAAACGTTCAAAGCCCCGTCCCACCGAGTCAACGATCGACCAACCCGACGAGACCCCCAGCCAATGCAGCAAACGTTCAAAGCCCCGTCCCACCGTGGAGAGCAAGCTCCAAAGGGAAAGGGGAAACGCACTGGTCAGGGGGAAGGGTAGAAAAGGGTCGAAAGCCGTACGTCAACTACCCCCCCAAGGCGGGTGCAAGGGGATGGTGGTGGGTGAAAAATTTGACCAGAAAAGGAACTTGAACCAAAAAGGCAAACGAAAGCGAAATTCAACACTGCCACGTCCAAGCATGCGCAAAGGAAAAAGGCATGTGTTGAAAATCAAAAACTTGCCTTCCGGGCTTTGAGGGCTAGCAAACCAAATCGTTTCAAAAACGAAAATCGTTTGAAGCCCTCTTAGTCCGTATACGTTCAAGTTCCCAGTCAAGAAATATAATGTGAAATATCCATCCAATAGATATTCCAAAACGGGAGCAGACGGAATCGAAATATAATTCCATTCCGAAAGATAGAGAAATGTGCACGCACTCAAACGACATGTTTTCTCGAAAGGAAATGCCGAGTCAACGATCGACCAACCCGACGAGACCCCCAGCCAATGCAGCAAACGTTCAAAGCCCCGTCCCACCGTGGAGAGCAAGCTCCAAAGGGAAAGGGGAAACGCACTGGTCAGGGGGAAGGGTAGAAAAGGGTCGAAAGCCAAGTAAAGATCGTTTCGCGACCCGGACAGGGGAAAAGACCCGAAATAAATCGAGAAACATGTCATGAAGTGCAGGACACATTCGCTGGTTTTCACTCGGATGCAAAACCTGCTGTCAGAGCTAACCTGAGGCTCGAGACAATGCCAAGTCCAGCGAGCGAAGTCGCCGTTCGATGTCAGCATTGAGATTGACAAGAGCGTCCAGACGTTGTTCATGATAGCGAAGGCAGCGAACATTCGCCAAAGGCGAGCGCAGCAGGCGAGCTGCGGTGTTCTCTTCGACCGCCGTAAACACGAATGAAAAATGGTCATCCTCGCCACGTGGGCGAACCTCGTTGAGCTGGCCCTGCAAGGCATAGATCGCATCCCAGAGTGCAGCCAAGCTGGAGTTGCGCAGGCTCGCAACTTCAGCACGTAGCATCAGCACCTCTGCACGAAGGAGATCACACTGGAGACACGGCGGAGGACAGGCCCCCAACGCTCCAAGATCAGCCTCCCGTAGAACCGGCCCCGAAAATGGAGACGACTCTGGAGCAGCGCCGGACAGACGGGAAGAAGATTCCTCCGAGTGGCCCGACATGTTGGTGCAAAGCAAGAAGACCCTGGATACTGTAAGCAAAAGACTGCGGAAGGCAAGCGAGGCCGGCAGCAGTCATAAATCACAGATCTAAGGACGAACTCCGTCAAGCCGAAGCTCGAAGTCCGCATCAGAGTGCAAGAAGGAGCCGGCAACAAGCAACACGGCCGGGGCGGCACGCATGATCGATGTCAGCAAGCGTGCTGAAGATCATCCGGTCGCACATCTCCCACACGTGCACGGCATGGCAAAAGAGCAGCTTTCTGCAATAAGGCTCCAGACAACACAGAGAAGCGTACCGCGATGTATTTTCGCCGCTGGCGAACATGCCTGCAAACAAGTGGAAGTAATAATAAACATCGCACTCAGGGTCTACTCATCCAAGTCTTGAAAGGAGGCGGCCACGAGGCCGAAGCGGGTTCAAGAAAGAGCCGCTGCTCAAGAAGCCATTGCAAAGGCGGATGCACCCGGTCACCCAAGGGCAATGGTGCAATGTCGTTCGGCGTAAGCCTGCTGAGCGCATCTGCAAGTTCATTGCGATACCCAGGTACATGCTCGACCTCAGCTTGTACACCAGACCACGCCTGAAAAGCAAGGAACTTCTTGACAATCTCGCTCATGGACAGCACCGAGGAAAGGCCCTTGGAGGCACAGGCCTCTGCACCGGAGTTGTCAGAACGAAGGCAAGCTCGACATAGTCCACGATTGGAAGGCAGAGTGGCGAAGACACACCAAAGCAGCAGTAATTGAGCCAGGAGTTCCAACGCCGAAATATGCGCCTGGAGGGGCGGAAGGAACCACGAAGTGAGAGCAGCCCACTCCTGACTGTCTTTTCTAATGGAAAACCAGACAGTGCGACCACTGGGCCACATGGCGTAGCCTCCTAACCCAGACACCTCCGCATCGGCAAAGGCATCCGCCTCCGCGATGACCTTCAGCGGGAGCGGGCTGCGAAGCGCCTTCAAGAATGGGGTTCCCTGGAAGATGGCACGCCATGCAATTAAGCTTGACCTGCCGACATCCCCGAGGACTCGCAGCGGATGCCCAGGATCCTTAACCTCGACCCACAATCGGCGCTTCCTGAATGGCACCTGATCAAGATCCTGCTTGCAAGACACAAAAGTATTGGCCGCACGAGTGATGCAAGCACCTTTATGGAAGGACGGATGCCCAACCGAGCGGGTCAGCACACAATCCTCAGCAATATTGCGCTTGATCGCAGCCCACAGCTCAGGGCTGACACCAACCGAGGAAGCTGGTAAGCGCTGCAGAGCTGCATATAATGGGGACAGCAGAGGCCGAAGCACCGTCCACAAGCCTGTAACCCACAAGAGGCGTCCAATGAGTGATTCCAAAGTCTTGAACTTGACCTTGTCTCCAGCAGAAAGTAGCTCAGCGATTTGATCAAGAATTTTGGAAATTTTAGCAGACGGGAGCTCGCAAACCCAGCTTTCAAGATTGATGGACCATCCAATCCAAATGCACTCCGACGACCAGACACACTTTGGCCAAGAAAGTGGTACTCCCAGTGCTAAGAGCAAGAGGATCCAAATGGAGGCAGAGATCGGAGCCACATCGCCGCGAAAACCTCCCAAAAAATCGTCCACGTAGCCCCAAAGCAGATGTGAAAGCCAGATCGCTGCGTGCGACAGACGAAGCAGGGCTCCACCAACTCTGGCCCACCAAAAAGCGGATGCTCTGGCCCCGAAATTAAGGGTGCTGGACGTAAAGACGCGTCCCTCGAAGGTGAAGGCCAGCAAAGCCTGGTCACAGTGTTCCACCATGACCATGCGGTGAGCCTTGCGCACATCCAAAGAAACCGTGATCCAAGGTTGGCGGCCTAGGCAGGAGGGAGCGCAATCCTCAACGTCGGATATGCGTGGCAGCAGCATGTGATTTGGAATCTGACAAGCGGCCGTGACACCACTAATCGAGCTGTCGACCGTGAGTCGAGGCGACCTGCCTTCAGCCAGAACCAGTCCAAGTTTGCCGATAGCCACCGCCGGGAAGTGATCATGCAGGTATTGAACCGAAGGTCTCTCCACAATCCAGCCTTCAGCGATTTCCTGGGCCAGGAGCTCCCGGACCTGATCCGGGTGGTCGGAGGCACTTTTCCAAGAACCTTCGCAAATCACGAGGTCCGACACAATCGGATCTGCAGTGCGAGGTGGCCAATGAGGCGAGGGCTGCAGTTCGTGGTCCACACCAATGCGCACCCCTTTCCGGAGATGCTGGCATAGATCTGATTCAGGGTCTTTAGTAACAGCCAGCAGCTTCTCCAGGACGTTCAAGCGGAAAGGCTGTCCCGGTTGAATCGACAGAAAATTCTCGACCTCTGTTGCAGGGACCTCACAAAAGCAACACAGGTCATCGAGAAAGGGCTGAAGCTCCTCCGCGCTGATTGGTGGACAATCGGTACCAGCTCGCAAAGTGGAACAGATGCGGAGACAGAGACGACTGTCGACCAGACGCTGCGTCCACTTCTTGCGAAGACCTGCAAGGTGGTCATCGGCTTGTGGAGTAATCCAGCACGCTGTACTGTTGACACCTGCCCCATCCTCAATGCGGCGACTCAGCTGAGGCCAAACTGGGTCCAGGGGGAGCACAGAGCGCCAGTCTGCACATGGAAGCAGCCGGCCCTGAGACGAAGTGTACCTTCCCAGAAGCGCAGCCAAAGCGGCCGCCAGCGATTTCGGGTACGCAGCCGTCATTCGGCTAAGGAAACTTCCATCATCTGCTCGAATCCCCCACAGGTCGAGTATGTCCGGCCTGTTGGACAAGAAGAGCCAGCGCTTGGACACATCCATGCCGTGATGACAAGCTGCAACTTGGGCACCGAATGAAAGTGTGCTGGAAATCCACTGTTGCATTGTCTCTGTCAAAAAAGTCATGGAAGATGGCGGCTGTTCAAAAACAATGCAGCCTCCCACAGCCGCGACACTGGAGAGAAGCTCCCGACATCGATCATGAAGTAGAGCACTGTTCTGAGCCACCATAGATTGATGCCAATCGTTGGAAATACACCCGAGCGGCTCCTCCGGTGTGCGGCAGGGGGGTGGTCCGCCCGGTCGCAGTTTGAGAAGGCTGAATTCCCCGCAGGGCGGAGACGCTATGGCCGCTCCCACCACGCCGCTGGAGCAGAGCGCCAGGAGTTGAGCGAAAAATTCATCATCCAGAAGGTCGAAATCCTGGCAATGAATGATGTCAACTGGTTGAAAGCAGTCCTTGCCCAAGGCTTGCATGGCCGCGCTGACAGGAGCCCCGGCCCCGGAACAGATATCCAGAAAGAAACGCCCCGAATTGCAGTCGCAGATAAAGTCGGAATCGGGCAATTGGGGCAAGTCAGGGCAAATCCCTGTCCGGAGTTGCCAGAACCGACCGCACTGACAGAATTTGGCCGTGGGAGCAAGTCCCGCTGCTCCTCAGTGAGTGCAAGAGCACGAGGGGCAATGGGCAAAGCACCTGTCACAACCGAAGGGGAAGGAGGCCTAAACCCTAGGGAGGAAAGGCGGGCGGAAGTGTCGGCAGCCAGCGACTCACAAGCTCGAAGTGTATAACCCACTAGAACCAGACGGCGGCCTTCAAAGGGCAGGACTTCATGAAGGCAAGACGATGCAGTGAAGATCACTGGGCCGCGACACACTGGCAGAGAGACAGCCGGGTGCTTGACGCCATCATGCATCATCACATCAGCCCCGGAGGGGTGCGCAACCCGCAACTCACCACCGGAGAAACAAGAAATGGGAATGACCACATTGGGCAGGTCCGAGTTGGCTGTATCACAGTGGGCCTCTGAAGCAATGCCGTCGATCAAGACAAAAGATGAATGGAAAAACCCAGGTGACATTGAAGAAATGAGCGAATTCAGAACTCGCACCGATGAAGGGTGTGACCCGCATACCTTGCGCAGGCCAACCTTGATCCGATGGTAAAGACCAGCCGAGACCGAAGCCCCACTAGAGAACCGATCGTCAAGGTCAGGTGCTTCTTGCAGCAAAAGGTCAGCGAGCCTCTCAACGCTTTTACACGATAAGGCCACTGATTCGGACAAAATTGAATCTGCAAAGGACTCAGCCTCAGACTGAGAGGTCCCAGAGACCACAGGGGCAAAATCAGGCGGGGGATCAAGGTCCATGCCATCCTCCACCGCTGCCTGTCAATGGGGTGCAGCATTATGCGCGGATGCAGGGTGAGCAGCCCCACATGGCTTCCCATCAGCACCAAGGATCGGGCACTTGTGACTGAAACGGCAAGATTTGTTTCTGCACTTATCCGTGTGATAGCGGATACACGCACCGACCCCGCCGATCTGGCGAGCCCAATTGCTCGGCCAGTTGCTGATGGAGACGCGATCTTTGGAGGGACCCGCATCCCCACTCTTGCGTGGCTTGGCCTTGCTCTTGGCTTTGGCTCGAGGATTTGGATGCGGAGCGGGCGGCGGTTCAGTGCGCTGGCGTTTGCCGCGAGGCTCACCTCCACCCTGGTGCACCTTCGGCCGCGGAGCCAAAGCGTTGTGAAGGTCCGATCGTACATGTGTCAGTTCAGAGACACAATCCTGTAAAGACCAGCCGTATTCCTTCTGCAAGGAGCAGATGGCACTCCAAAGCACACGATCGGCATCCATAGCCTCTGCCAGCGTGGGTCCTCGCAGGGAACGGTCAATCGGGATCGCCGTCGCCAGGCTCACAAATTTCTCCGAGAGTTTCTTCAGAGTCAGTAAGTGGCATGCATCAAGAACCGCGAGGGCATAAGACATGCGGTCAAGGTAGCGACGAATCACAGACTCAAGGGGGAGGTGCTGCGGGACATCCACCACAAGTTCATCCGAGACCGGACCGAGCAGTGACTGTAGCATCTGCGAGTCCGTGCGCGGTTTGCGTCGCTCGGTGAGAGCCTGTTCATCTGACTCACTCGTTCGAAGTCGCCATGAAATCCAGGAGAGCTGCTTAGAGTCGACCGCATCCTTGACCGCATTCAGGAAAGGCAGACTTGGCATGACCTCCGGGCGAAGGAGTTCCGAAGGATATTTGCGCGAGAACTCCACCACAAGCGATTGGACATCCGCAGCTTGCAGTTTTGGTCTCACAGCTGCCGGGGTCGGTGCAGCCGGGGACGAAGCACCGGCCGGCCCTGCCAGGTTGATGCACTCTTTAAGCACACGACGAAGGGCAGCCGCCTCCGGAGAGAAAATGGGGACCGTCGGGTCCGCACCCACTGCTCTGCCCAGCAAAGACTCAACAAAGGCCTCGAGGTCATCCAGAAGAGCCATGGTGTTGTAGCCTGCATCACGAAGCTTGTCCTTGACTGCATCCGGGACCGCCCATCTAGTGAGAAGGCCCGTGAAAGCGGCGGGATCATCGAGCATGACGGCGGATCCTGCCATGGCTTTTCTTAAGTTCCTAGCAGCCAAACGCTAGCGATTGCCAAATGCCAAGAAGTGCAGAAGAACATAATGCACCAAGCGGCAATCCCAGCTTTTGCAACCTGAGGTTACGTAGAAGACCACGGCCGGTTGGCCGAGCTCGTCTAGCACGAAGCAGAGAGCCGCGCAGTACCAAATGCACTAACATCGGCAGATCAAAAGGTGCCGGGAAGCGAGTCCGGCGAGGCAGATGCAAAAGCGGCTCCGACCGTGCACAAGGCCCGTGGTGCAAGCGTGCACCCCCAGGCATGCAACGAAGCCCCGCAACCACGCCCGAAAGAGACCTATGAGTCCAGCAAGGATGCAAGTGCGGGGTCCTTCCCACACCCGTGCTTCAAGCACAAACGTGCACCCTTCGGGATCTCAGATGTCCGAACTAAGGCTCCAATTGCCAGATTGCCTCTTATGGAGCAACCTGGGCGAAGAGGAGCATCCCCAACTGCGTCCGGAGCTGGGCGGAACTGACAAGCTGGATGGTCTGCCCGGCAAGGCTTGGCAAGATGCACAATTGACGTCATTGGATTAAATAAAAATTCGAACTCTTCAGGCTCACCAAGATCCTGCGGTGAAGACGCCACGTCACCGGACGACACCAGTTCCCAAGCTGCGGCCGGGGCCGCTGATGTGGACTCGACCTCAGGAGCCGCCGGAGCATCATCTTCGGAATCAGAGCTCGAATCTTGATCGAGAACCAACGGCTCTCTGTCGTGGAGCCTGGGCACCACCGAGGGGCACGAGAGTCCGAGGCGGCCGGCTCCAAAGCAGGCACAGCAACTGTGATGTCAGGGAGTGGCGGCGCACGGCCTCAGCGGTAGGAATCCATTCGCCACTGCCTGGACGATAGAAGACTGGAGTGCCAGGGGACCTGAAACATCATCTCTGCCGTATAACCGGGTCATGGCGTGCCCCGGCGGCGGGCGGTGGTGTCCTTGCTCTCGCCGCAAGGCTTCGTCCAACAAGAGCTGCTTAGCCAAGGATAAGAACGTGACTTTGGCACTGTGCACGCCAATGAGTGACAAGTCCGGCCGTTGGTCCGAGCTCTCATAGCACATCGCCAAAAGTCTGCGGATCAGGACCACCCCCGCAGCACGGCTCAAAGGAGCCAAGAAGACCGGAGCACGAGCATCCGGACCCAAGTCGGCTACCAGAAAATCGGGCTGAAACCCAGGACGAGCGGCCGAAGTACGGGTCACCGCCTCCTGGACCAGACACAGCCAGACCTGGCCCCAGCCGGGGACCGTTTGAGGCCTAGCGAGAAACCCGGGAGCCCAGGCTCCCCACGGCATGGATCGAGAAGTAGTTTTCGTCCTTGTAGCACATCCAAGAAGCGCCTGCCGATCCAAGTGAAGAAAGGAAGGCGGAGACCACTGAGCATCCGACCAACGAAGGCTGGCAAACACGCAAACCAGTATGAAGCCACACCGAATTCGATGTGCTGCGGACTGGGCCGCATCCAGCACTTGCCTTTCCAACCAAATGACGAAGGAAAGCGGGAAAGGTGCTGTCTCCCTGCGCTGAACCACATTCACGGATTTGACAAAGGCCCGCAATGCCTCAGACTGTAGCGCCAACTTGAATGACTGGACCTCCAGCCGCGTAGTGATGAACCTGAAGGCCTTGAGCCACGCGATAGCCGACCCCAGAAGACCTTTGCAGTGCGTGATCAAGAAATCGCAGAGGAAGGCTACCTTGGGTGCCCATTCATCTGCCGATTGGACCTGGCAAAACTCGACCCAATGTTTCCAACGTCCGAAGTAGTTGGTGAGAGTTGAAGGAGCGTTCCCCTGAACCAGGCGCACCAGAAGTACCGAAGAATTTGGACTCTGCAAGAGCTCTGCCACCATTGCAGAGGCAGCAGCAGCTGTGGCTGCCAGGGCCAGCCAGACCTTAAGCTGCTCGTTTTTAGCATTCTGCCAAGCCGACAACATAGTGCCCGGTGCCGCCGGCTTGTAAGGATGAGCCGGAGCAGGAGGAAAATCCTTCATGTTTGGGAGCACCCTTGCACTGCGGAGCGGAGCAAAGCCACCCTTAGAGACCTCGGACAAGTCCACAAAGCTCGGAGGACGAAACCTCGGCGCCAATGACGGTGCAGAAGCCGGGGGCTCCGAGGGAAAAGGCGCGCGGTGGCACCTAGGTAGCAGCAATGGAGCCAGAGCCGGGCTCGGAGCCGGCACTGGTGCAGGAAAAGACGGCTTGCGAGGCGTTCCATCCGGCAGCCAGCGACTGGCCATGATCATGCACAGAGACCCTAAGCAAGGAAACCCACCCCCAAAACCTGAGCCTAGCAGAAAGGTCAGAGCGGCAGGCTGATCAGCAGGCACACACAGCTAGCCAAGGCAATCGGTCCAAAGGAACCGGTGAATTGATGCCCAGTAAACACAACCTGTCAGTCAGAGCGGAGGCTATGGGTATCGGAGCTCAAGATCGCCGGCAGCTGCGACACCAAGGACTCGAGGCGAGCCACACGGTCAAGGAGTGAACTGGACCCTGATGCCGTATCCTGCTGAGACAATGACTGGAGGGCCTGTTCAGCCCGTGCCATCCTTGCGGGGAGAGCATCTGATAGTGCCCGAGCCGCCACCTGGGGATCACCGGTAATCGTTGGAACCAATAGGCCCAGAGCCGACCGCAGATCATCAACATTTTCCCAGAGCAACCTGACACGAGTATCCAAGCGATCCAACCTCCAGGACAATGCATCCGTCTGTAAAGCAGTCTGGCTGACATGAAGCGACACAGAATCCAAGCCCTCGGAGAGAGCAGCGACCCTCTGTTCAATAGCCAGAAACCGATCCGCAGCATCCGACAAAAGAGAACTGTCAGAGTTCGAAGGCCACACCAAATGTTCCACATTAAGAAGCCTGCCCTCGAGGTTTGCAGCCTGTGACAGACACAATCGAAGATCCTGGGCGAGTTCCGCAAGATCCGAGGCAGTGGCCCAGGCCGGCTGGACCAACGCATGTCCCAAGGAAGGCGGGCTTGAATCAACGATCGGATCATCCTCAAGAGCACTGTATGGGCGCCTCCGATTGAACCTGAAGCAGAAAGGTGAAGAGCTCCGCCGCGACATAGAGGGCCAACCTGACAGAAGTGGGAAAAAAAAAGGGGGTGGGGGGGGTTCACATGTGCAACAGGCACTGCCAACGTAGAGCACAGTGGCCTACTGCAGAGTCGCCGTCCCAGCCAAGCGTGGGCTTGGGAGCGCCGCAACCTGATTAAGTAGGCAATCTAGAAAACCCGTGGTCCAGCTGTGGCGAGATAGTCTGCCAAACGCAGCCAAGGTCGAGACCAGGTGTCACCGCGGCGTAACGCCGGGCGACCTAAAGCCGCCAGAAACACAACGGGAACCGAGAATGCTACGGTTCCAGTGCTTGAATCTGAGAACGGCGCAAGGTCCACAGCTGAGTAGCACCGTCCTGAAGAAAACGTGATATCCCCAGGCAAAGCCAGAGGGATTCAAGTCGAGGAGCGGGCCCACCAATTGGATCCGTCACGAAGACCTGAAAGCACAACGGGAACCGAAAGAACGGCTCCAGTGCTTCCACCTGGGGGCGTGGCAAGTCTCGTCAGTCAAAGCCCAGACCTGTGTGTATCACGTGAGATCCCAGGGAAAACCACTGGGACTCAAAACAAGGGGCTGGCCCGAGCGCGAGCAAGCGGCGTCACCACGACCTGAACAGAGGTAAAGATCAGGTGGGAGGGGGGGGGGTGGGGGCAGAACGGGCCGAGAGCCACTACGCACCACAGGCGTGACAGCTCAGACTGAGGCAACAGCGCCAGCGTGGCCCACCACCAAGCCCGACCCGAAACCCCAGCCCACACTCTAAGCCGGCGAGCGGTAAAGGCACAAGCGAGTGCATGCATACCGAAGCAGCAAACAGCCAAGGTTCAGCAACAAGTCGCTCAAAGGATAGTGCAGTTAATGCAAGACTCTGCGAATGCACAAGACCTTTCATTCGGGAGAGCCGGATGCACTCACGGTAGGAGCTTGCAGGGCGAGATGCGCCGCCAAAATGACAGCTGAGGAAGTACGACTCGGCGAGCTTCCCAGGCTGCGCAGCACACGTGCCAAAAGTTCCAAAACCAGCGGCTAGGGCCCACAGGAGTCATCACGGCCCCGTTTCCATCATGGCATCATGGAGTTCGAGGCCCGGGGCGTGTCTCCAGCAAGAACTGCACATCCTGGGAAATCTGCGCCAGCTGACGCCGAAGTACGGCATGAGCCTCAGGGGTGCTGCAAGCCTGAACATGACGAGTGAGATCATCTCGAAGCTCATTGCGACTTGTGATGTCAGTCACTGCATGGGATTCACACTCAGAGATTCGCCGACGAAGATCGCGGATAATTTTCTCCAGCTGGACCAGAGAATGGTCCTCGATGAATCCTATGCGATCCAAAGCAGTATCAAGTCGGCGGGTCAAAGTAGCGACTGTAACATCAAGACCATCCAGGCGCTCAACAGCCACGTCCAGGCGGCGAGCAAGGTCGTCAAGGCTGGGAGCGGCAGCAATCACTGGTGGCCCAGAAGTCGAAGCGCAACTGGTATCCATAGGCCCGGCAGAACCTGGAGCATCACTGTCCGAAGCCTCATCGCCGAGTGGCATAACATCCGAAAGAAAACCCGCCACGGGCGCCCAAGGAAGCGACCGCCGCTCCTGCTCGAGCCTCTGAAGGCGAGCCCAAAGTACAGCATCATTCCCAGGGTCCAGAGAGTCACCAGCCGCAGAGGACGTGACACCTGAAGCATTGCGATCGGCAGCACGGAGGGCATTGCTGTCGCCGTCGACCGAGTCAGTCATGTCCTCGTCGCTCAGTGGCTGTGCCTCATCGTTTCGGTCATCGTCCGCAGATGCACTGTAGAAGCGACTCATGCCACGAGCCAGAGATCGTGCCAGGGACTCCTGATGCACCAAAGCCAGCTCCCTCGACAAGTAGAGAAGAGCCGCCATGCTGGCAGCTCGACGCTAAAGCCCTAGAGCAAGGCCTCTAGAGAGCCCTTTACACGTCACGTGTGACGGAGTGGCGCCCCCCCGAGAACGCACTCACGTCAGATCTCCAGGCTCATGAAAAATTTGACCAGAAAAGGAACTTGAGCCAAAATGGCAAACGAAAGCGAAATTCAACACTGCCACGTCCAAGCACGCGCAAAGGAAAAAGGCATGTGTTGAAAATCAAAAACTTGCCTTCCGGGCTTTGAGGGCTAGCAAACCAAATCGTTTCAAAAACGAAAATCTTGCGGGGGCAGGAGTCCAGTGGACTTAGAAGTGGAGTGCCTTGCTGCGGATCTGTGTGCGTTCCGCCTGCAGCCGCGGGTTGCCGGGTATTTGCCCGAAGCCGTGCCACGGTGGCGTCTTCCGGCCTTGGCGGATAACCGCGAAGTTGCGCAGTCAAAGTTGCGCTGCCTCCCTTCCTGCCGCTCTTAGAGCTACATGGAGCCAACGTGTGGCGACCCTGTAAATGCCGTGGAGACTCCGCCTGGTCGCTTAGTGCCTGGAGTTACCGCCATTGCTAGCCGGTGTGTACCGGCAGAAGACGATTTTTTTGGCTTGACTGGGCCTCGTCGACTACGGCTGTAGCACTCGGTCCCTACAAACAAGCAAACAACAAACTAAGCAAAAACACTACAAAGCGGTGAGACGAAAAGCGAAGCTCTACAAGGGCTGCGGCGCACAGGCTTTGCCGGTGTTAGCCGTTCAGCACAGCTACGGAGTCTCAGCGACCGATCCGGAGCAACAAAGAGCCGTCGCTCTGAGCTGCCCAAAACAACAGGTGGAGCCAAGACCAAGCTCCGGCAGCCGTTCTAGTCTCGCCAGACAACGGACAGCCCCTGTGTCTTGTTCCGTCACGATCGTGCACACCAAAATCCAAAAGTCCAATGCTCACAGAGGTGAGCGGCTTCCAGACATGATGCGGTGGCCAGAGTCGGGGCAACTCAAAGCCGGCCAGATGCGAACGCACCCCGAAGGACGTGACGAGACCAAACGATCCTCGGTGTGCAAAACAGTGGCGGCTTGGATGCATGAGACCAACGGCCACCAATCGCTGCCCATAGCGCGACGGCCGGGCAGGATGTAGACCGTGGGAGCAACTTGTTGTGCGTCGAAACCCATTATAGATCCGGTCATCCATGACAATCACATATTTGAATCAAGTATAAATACCTCGATCAAATATCTGCACTCCACAACATATAAAGAATTGTCGACCACATATGTCGGTCCGATTCGAATATATACAAACGATAAGAAATTGATGCAGAACGCTCACACTTGTTTTCACGGCACAGCCGAGAGTCATGGGGAGTTTTCACGGAAAACACAAGTGCACAACGTGTGCACCGGGCACTAAGAGTGCCCCTCCACCTAAGTCGAGGCACCAGGCGTGCCAACGGATCAGTCGCACCTTGGAGTGCAACGTGACCACCAATCTCCCCCCAGGGTGGGTGGGCGGGATCAAAAATTTCTGACTCGAACTCGAGACAGCTTCAGTGGTCACGGTTCTGATCATGAGCAAATGGACGTGCACTGACACTGAAGAAAAATCGTCGCTTGCTCGGAGAAATGAAATCGTGAATCAACTGTTGAAAACTGTAAAAGTTTGATTCGAAAGCACTACTAGGAGTAGTGCCAAGATCTGTAAAAGTTTGATTCGAAAGCACTACTAGGAGTAGTGCAAAGATTGTCATGGCCCAAAATTTTGTTGCTTACAAAATTTCGTTTGACCTAGGATCTATAAAACATCGACACGCCCGCGTGAAGAGATGCTTATAGATCCGGTCATCCATGACAATCACATATTTGAATCAAGTATAAATACCTCGATCAAATATCTGCACTCCACAACATATAAAGAATTGTCGACCACATATGTCGGTCCGATTCGAATATATACAAACGATAAGAAATTGATGCAGAACGCTCACACTTGTTTTCACGGCACAGCCGAGAGTCATGGGGAGTTTTCACGGAAAACACAAGTGCACAACGTGTGCACCGGGCACTAAGAGTGCCCCTCCACCTAAGTCGAGGCACCAGGCGTGCCAACGGATCAGTCGCACCTTGGAGTGCAACGTGACCACCAATCTCCCCCTCTCGACTATGTGTTACGTTGCATCAAGCGCCTCACCAGTGACAAAGCAAGTCGGTGCGTCACGATCAAAAGGCCCGAGAAATGCCAGCTCGTCCCATCTGCCTCGCGAAGGCGGGTCCGCGATGTTACTCTGACTCGGGACACGATGAAACCAGGGCAAACACGGCCGTGCTTCATCGGCAGCCTCCAGGTGGAGGAGCAGACTTCTCCACGATGCATCGATCGAGTTCGAGTTGATGCAGGCACTCAGCACACCCGAATGGTCAACGAAAAATATGCATCTTTCGCCGTCAATGTAACTCGACCACAAGATCCTGGCGAGCACCACCGCGTAAAGCTCGACCTGCCCTATAATGTGTTTCCTACCTTCGGCCCATTGCTTGACGAGCTTGGTTGGAACCCTGCAGCCGAAAGCTCTAGCTACCCCCTTGCCGGGAGCAAAGAGGACTCCTCCAACACCCGTGGTGAAGCTGCCCTCACACGGGTCGCATGCGCCATCTGTGAAGATAAGGACTGGATTCGAAGGCGGGCTCGTAGCAATGGCCCGCGGCCTGCTCGCAAGAAGTCTCGCCCTCAAGACAGCCAAGGCGTTCGATTGCGAATCGGTCAACTGCAAGACACCACCTTTGTCACCTAGGAGCCTGAGGTCAGCCAGGGCCAATCGCCCCGTGCGGCCGAGCAGCTGAGCATCTGCAAAGCGAAGTTTGCCAAGAAGGGAGGGCAACTCCCTCGTGTCCACCTGGCCTTGTTCAAGGATGCGGCCTATGGACTCCTCGAGCATGGCAGCCCGTTCAGGCTTGTTCGATACGAAGATGCGCCCCATGTCGGGATCCGAAGTATCAAGCACAACACCCAAAGTCTCTGCAGTGCAAGAGAACGGCTTCTCTTTCTCGGACAAGGAGAAGCCGAACAAGTCCATGAGGGCATGAACTGCATTGTCCGTCCCGCCCGACAAGAACGAGGGTGTCATGGTCGGGAAGTCGTCGTAGTAGCAAGTCACAGCTACCCTCAAATCCCAAAGGACCCTTTGTAGAAACAATGCCACCCGGTTAAATTGCATGACTGAAGCCGATGCCCCGAAAGGAAGAGTGTTGCACACAAAGGCTTTCACAGCGCGGGAGCCGGGCTCCCTGAGCAGGATAACGGATTTCGGCCTCTCGCCTGGGTGCAATGCAAGTTGCTTGTACGCTGCCTGAAGGTCATAAGTTTTGCAGTGAGGACGGACGCGGTCAGGGTCCTTCCACGCAGAATGGAGAGGTCCCTTGAGTCTCTCACCTGAGCTGAGCTCCAGATCGAGGGAGCCCGACGATTTTGCCGCACGGCAAACCTGCATGCACAGCCAACATATCTCATCAAGGGCCTTAAGCGTGACACGCTCGAAGCATCCGAAGCAAGAGTTCACCGCAGCTTCCGAGAAGTCATCGATGGCACGCCATTTGCCCTGCCAGACTGCAAAACGCCGGCAAGCATTCCAGCCTTCGGGGAAGGTGTCCCCCAAAGAGTCAACATCGATCGGGCCCTCGAGCCAGCACTTCCCGGATCTGTTTGACTCCTCAAGTGTCATGTCCCAGAGCTCCTCGGCATAATCATGGTCCTTCTGAGCCCTGACCTTCTCAAGAAGAGTTTCCCTTCGAAGGGGAGCACTCGCCCAGAATTCGTCAAGGTCCATCGTGGCAGGCTTAACATCACTAGCGAAGACCCCCGTGCGTCCTAAGTACCCCGTTAGCTTAAAGCCGGCAGCAAGGTCATCGAAGAGAGTCGTGTCAGGCCACGACAAGTCGGCGGCAACCCTCTTCATGAGCGCAATACGTTTGCACCCGAGGACCTTCCGCACACAAGGATCCATAGCCGACCTGATTTTCTCTTCCTCGGGCTCAAGCTGCTTGGCGAGGGCACGCCAATGCTGTAGCTTCAGAAGGCGGTGCCTCATCGTGTCGACGGGGCTCTTCGTAAGGGTGTCGAACAAGACTCGCAAAAGTTCATCGGGAAGTGATCTGGCGGAATCAAAAGGATGCACAACTAACTTTGCCTCGTTCAAGAAAGCTTGCATGGATCGATACACGCCGAAAATGTAGAACTTATTGCCCTCAGGGAGTCGCGAACCTCCCCTTTCAACTGACTCCCGGAGGAGCTTGGCACCTGCAGGGACGCCATGCCAGGCAGTCGAAAGGCAATGCTTGGAATTCAGAGTAGGAGCCTCAGCACTGCCAACTGAGACGGTGTAAGCAAATTCCGAAATGATCGGCGGGAACTTACGGCCACGAGGTTGCACCTGACCTGCGGCACGTGCAGCAAAGACTTTGGACACACTTAGGCGTTCTGGCGCAATGCCTCGTGATGCGGCCGACGTATCCACGCATGCGACGATCCTTTCGCAAAGAAGCTTGGGATAGCCTGTCTCGTCAGCAGTGGCAAAAGAGCGGCCCTGCTTGCCCCATAGCAGATGCGAGGAGCAACCTGGACAGGGTCCGGAAAGGCAGTGTAAAAGCTCGGAGTTTGTGAGAAGGGCCGTGGCCTTCTTGCGTTGTGACCCGTGGAGGCACGAGTCAAATGTGACGAAGGAGTGCTTTGAAACCAGCGCGGCCCACTTCGGAAGCTGCCAAAGGTAGCTATGCAATGGGTTCTCAACCGAAAAAGGGACATGCGGCATGGCATGAAGCAGCCACTCACAGAAAGCCACCATGTTGTCATATATAGTGTTGGCACTGTCCACCCGGGCCTGCTCCACTGGTGGAAGGCCGGGGAGCCCACGCACGTGGCGAATTGAACGCAGTGGCTTGGGGCCGGGCCCGCATTCCCGAGCTCTGCTGGCAGTACCGCATGGAGGAGCCATGTGGATCCAGGCGACGTTGTACTCTGAACAAATGCGTCGTAGGAAAGACCACGTGCTGTCAAGGCGCAAGTCAAGCTGCAAAGTGTGCACACACGTCCGTTGTTTGTTGTGATGCCAATCGATTGGCACGGCCGTGTATCCGGCCTCCTTAGCAACATAAGAGAGCATAGCGGACCCACTGCAAATTTCCAAGAACAAAGGTTTATCATGCCGGGGAGGCTGCGCGGCATGAGCGTGCGATTTCAAGCGTTTACACGACGGGTCGGCAGGTGGGGCGGAACCCAAAAGGCCGGGAACAGTGGGGCTAGACCCAGAAGTGGCAGTGGCACACGGCAAGGTATTCTGAAGAGGCAGCCGCTCTACAGGGAGCGGTTGTGCCGCAGCAGTAGGTGCACACGGAAAGCCCAATGGGAGCAGCGCCGTAGGTCGCCCACCTGAAAGAGTGTAGAGTGTGACGACGCACCTCTCGCCTGTGTATGGCATAGTCTTATGCCACAAGTTGCATGGAAAGCTAGTGGGGCGGCAGAACGTGTTGACTATCTTGCCGCGGATCTTCTTGTCGCCTGGCACAGTAACCTCAGAAGTGCCCGATGCATCCTCAAGCCAGAGCTGGCCGCCTGTGAAGGCGCCCAGCGAGAAGGTGTGGTTCAGCGAACCCTGTTGGTTACCCGAATCTCTGTGGAAATCCGATAAGGTGTTCCTGCCTACACAGATTGCATTCCAGGACACATGGGGCAGAAGCCCTCTGATGGCTGCATTCAGTTGCTGGACAAAAGCCTGCATGGCCAGCGTGGCATGTGTCAGATGCTGCGGGTTGCTGGCTCTGGGCCCGAAGTTGTAATACCCTGACTGCGTGGGATTCGCTGAAGAAACAGACTTGCGTTGCAACATAGAGTCGGGCCACTGAGCACCCTGAAGCAACTGCAAAAGTGAAGAAAACTTGCTTGCATCCATACTAGCACTCTGCTGACACGGATCAAGACCTGATGAAGGAGAATCATTCGGCACAAGCGGGGCTTGCGGCGATACAAAACCTTGCCCAGCCAAGCCTGGGCCAGCTCGACTCTGAGTCGAGCATTGCGAGCTGCCGGGCTCGCTCTTCAACTGTCACTCCTGCTTTTGGCTAAGAGCCTCAGCACGCATTGGACAGTCCAATGCAGGATGCGACTTGCCGCACTTAGGCCATGCGCAGATGTGCAATCCGCGCACGCACCGACCACGAGTCACAGTTTCCCTGCACGTTTTGAGTCCATACCCAAAACATATGTTTTCACCAGCATTGGTGCAGGATCTGCAGCCTGACAGAGCGGCAGGGACTTTCCCGCCACCTTTGGTGCCCTTGGCACCTTTTCCAGTGCCTTTTCGGCCTTTGCCTGGACGATCGTACGGGCCTGGCCCGTGCGGTCTCGGCGGCGGTTCCACCTTCTGTGAGGCCGAAGCGCCTGCTGCCCGAGGCATCGGCTGGAGCAGATGAAGTACCTCGGGTGACTGCCACGTGGTTTCGAAGATGGCGTCGAGTGGTCGCCCACCAGCTTTGAGCTGGATGCCCGAGCGCGTTGCTTCTCCGAGAAGCTGCCAAAGCTTTCTGTCAGCCTGCTGACACTGATCAAGAGTAGGCTGCATGTGCGTCGACGGAGGTGCGTCGAGGCGCGCCGCAAGAAGGCGCTCGACCCACATGTGGTGACGATGGTAGTCAAGGATGTTTGCCATTTCCATAGCGATGCCGCGCCTCTGAAGCGCGAGCTGCAAGAGCAGCTCCGTGCTTGTGTCAGCACGGACTTCAACCTTCGTCTCCGACCTGAGCTTGCCAGTACTGTCCAGCGAGAAGAAAGGCTCTCGCTTTGCCCCAGTTGAGGCCTCTTGTTCTTTGGAAACAAGCTTCTCCCACGGGACAAACTGCAGCTTGTCCTGTTCATACTGAGACACGAAGGAGTCGACGAGGCTATCCGCAGGCTCAAGACGATTCTTGATCGAAAGGCCCACAAGTCGTTTGCTCACAACCTCGAACCGCTCAGATCTCTCTGGGACGCTCAATTTTCTCGGGATGGATTCGTCCGTCCGCTCCACAAGCATCTTCATTTCCGAAGTGGTAACAGCATATGCTTCATGAAATAACCTTCGGAAGGAGCTTTTCTGCCCTACAGAGGGCGGCGTCCCGAGGGCCGACTCGAATGCCGCGATGAGGTCCTTGTCATCGCCGGAGCCCGGCGTGTAGCTCGTCATGAAAGCGACCTTTGCGAGTGAATCCACACCCACCTTCTCGAGTTTTTCGACATCCGCAGATGCCAATCCGACTTGGGCACATCGTGATTTAAACACCGGCCCTGACTCGGAGAAGGCCGCCATGGTGATCTGCTTGGACCACTATGAGCTGAAAGCAGCTGCGGGAGGGCTTTGTTCTGCATCGAATCACTCCTCATGCAGGACACGACACCCGCCAGATCCCTCCGCTCTTGCACGATACACCTATGACAGCACTTGACCGGCTTGCGGACTGCACGTGCACGGCATCACAATTTTGCACAAAATTTGCAGACACGAGCCGGATGCAGAGTCATGTGCCCTGCTGCACAATCAAGTACTTCCTGAAGCACTGCTTGCACCTTGGATGCAAAATTGCGGGTCGAGCCTCCAGCTTCCTGTACTGACCCGAAATGGCCCTACCGCAGCCCAGGTTGGAGCCGGCTTCGTCGGCAGTGATATGCACTACCCTGGATTGGCGATGCCGAAAGAAAACGCAAGAGGGATCAATCTTGCCAAGATCGACCTTCCCGCGCCAGTCCAAAGCCTCAGCAACACAAGCTTCGTCCCCTGAGTGGTCGATCTCCTCCTCATCCTCGGAGCCTTCAGACTCTGACGACTCGATCTCATCGCCAGGGGGATCGGCATTTGCCGACAGCTCGGAGGCAAGTTGTTGCCCCCTTGGTTTGTCAGGCTTGAAGGTCCCGGACGAGACCTCGTCGATCATAGATGACAAAGCCCTGAGCGGAGCCGACTGGGCGTCGGACTCATAGATCAGTTCTGATCCCGCACCCGATGCTCGGGACGTGTGATACCCCAAGAGGGCCCTCTGTTCTCGGGGCAAACCACGCTTGCTTGCCCAGCTCAGCAAAGTTCTCTTAAGGCTATGTGTTCCTACATTCGCAAGGTAGGGATCGCTCTGGGCGTTCCCCAGCAGGCTCCTGAGCCACGCACACGCCTGATCACACGGAAGCGGGATCATCTTCCACGAACCATTCGAAGAAGGGCAGGGGAGCAACGGGTCGTTCTGCTTGATCGTAAGACCTGCTTCTGCCAAAGCCGCAAGCCAAGCATCGGCCCACGCACACTTGATGCCCACCTTCCTGGCAGCCATCGGCAGGTACCTGGTCTTACGTTCCAATGTGAAACTCGTCTTGGACCTGCCTACACTGCACTCCAAGTAGAGCGGTGAGTCAGTCAGCGATGCTACATTTTGCCCGTCACTGTATCTAGCTCTTGCAAAAATCAAGAAAAGAAAGAAACCTGCGGCGATGCGGTCCTGCAAAGACCTGTCTTCAAGATTGCAGCAAATCCTTTCAAGAAGAATGACATCGGAGACCCTCAGAGGATTCCGTTGCTTGAGTTTCCTCTTCTGCATGTAAGGCTTCGACGCAAGGCCGCGGACGCGACCCGAAGTGTAAACCTTGTCACACCCTTCAAGGCCCACCACATGCTGAGCGAAAGCAACGGAAGAGAGAAGGCTCCTGAACGATGTTGCTGCTGCTGTTGACTTCTTCTCCTCGAAGTATGCATAGACAGCGTGCTCGGTCAAGGGAAAAACAAACGGCATGTTCCCCTTTGCCCAAGAAACAAACCGTAACAAGCAATTTGCCCTGGCATTGATCGTCGAAGTGGCCTTGGCTGCAAGGCAATCCGAAATGCTGTCAGCAAGTGATCCCGAAGAGATCCCCGACGCCTTGCCGGCGTAGAAGTTCCTAGCTACACCGAAGGTCAAGGGCTCAACCATGACCAGGCTGAGCCACTTATTCACAGCAAGATTTCTCTCTTCGTTGACCATAACCTCCCAAGAAGTGTGTTTGAACTTGGCCATCTTGGCACACACCTGTTCAAGCCCTTCCGACCTCACGAAGCGAGGGATCGGCACGGCCGGCTGATCAGCAGAGGGGCTCACTGGGACTACAAGGGGCAGAGGTCCAAGAGGAAGCGGCAGGCGGGGCTTAGGGTCATGGGCCAAAAACGAGTTCCCCCAAGGAGTCTTCCACACTGACTTGGAGTCTCGCAAGCAAGATCTAAGATGAAGGCCAAAACTGGATCCAAGAGAGCCTCCTTCATCCCCCATTTCACTACGGCTCCCTCAAGCAGACTGCTCGCGCGGTTCAAGAAAGGCTCTGCAGGCGTTGCGCAATCCCTGGATGATCCCCTCAAGCCACGAGAGGCGTTGGTGATGACCCGTCTGGTTCACCCAGACGCGCGCAAGGGACTCCTCCAAAGTCTGCAAATCGGACCTGAGGGCTTGAACTTGAAGCCTCAGGGCGTTGACCTCCAATTGGAGATCGTAAATATGCTGACTGTGAAGCTCGCGAGTGCTAGTGGAGCTGTCCTCGGAGCGATGAGAAGACCCGTCGGCGAGCGCGTCGCCGAAGTCCATCTGACGCCCCGCACGTATAGCGGGGAGTCGTGACGCCCTAAAGCAAGCACTTAAGGGGCCTGAGACCTGCTAGGACGCCGTTACAAGCCCCTAGCGGAGTCCCGATCAAAAATTTCTGACTCGAACTCGAGACAGCTTCAGTGGTCACGGTTCTGATCATGAGCAAATGGACGTGCACTGACACTGAAGAAAAATCGTCGCTTGCTCGGAGAAATGAAATCGTGAATCATCTGTTGAAAACTGTAAAAGTTTGATTCGAAAGCACTACTAGGAGTAGTGCCAAGATCTGTAAAAGTTTGATTCGAAAGCACTACTAGGAGTAGTGCAAAGATTGTCATGGCCCAAAATTTTGTTGCTTACAAAATTTCGTTTGACCTAGGATCTATAAAACATCGACACGCCCGCGTGAAGAGATGCGTGCAGCGCAAGCTAGTGATCGCCCTAAAGGACCGGTAACGGGTCGCCCAAGTAGAGCGTGCACACCGGGCCCAGGGGCCCAAGCAGTGGTGTGTAGCTCCCACTCAGGAGTAGCATGGAGGGAGAAGGACCTCAACGACGTATGTCGTCGGTTTCAGCGCGTCACCACCAGACGACGTAATTGCAAAGCCAAGTGCACTGGCAATCAAGCTGCTCCAGCTGTGTTCAGGGACAACCTGTGGTGCGCCGCAACCTCAGAACAGCGCAGCCAAGGCCCCCCCCCATCCCCCACTGCAAAGGCAGGCAGTGGCCATAAGCAGCTATCGCAAAGTGCCCACCGACCCAAACAATGCTCCGGCGGTCGCCGTGCCAGAGCAAGAGCAGCAAGGATAATGAATGAACCTCAACGACGTATGTCGTCGGTTGCCGCGGCATCACCTGGAGGATCCTCCAAAGGTGAAGCGACGTGCCTCACGAGATCCGTCACCACTTAGCTATCCCAGACCATTGTCAGGAGCTCTGGCCGCCGAGCCTGCACTATCGGCATGTATTCGACAAGGCGGCATTGTCCCGCCAGCCCGCCCAGTGGAGCCTGGTCTCGACCAGGGCCATGTAGCCCTTGCGTGCCTCTGGGAAGGGAATCGACACAACGACGTATGTCGTTAGTCCCACGGTCGACAAAGGGCGGAGGTCACCTGGAGGAGCCATCCGCTGCATCGTGCGGCCAGCTGTCGAGCAGTCGTTGCATGTCACGGCCACTCGAAGGAAAGTGACTCTCCTTCAGGAGATAGAGCATCTGATAGTTCCTCTCCTTGTAGATTTCCGTCAGTCGTGAAAATGAATACTGATGATTGTCATGGTCTTCGCTATGGAGATGTGGCATTAACTCGGTGGATATGCAAGGAAGTTGGAGGCCAGGCCCGAGGCCCCCTTCCCTGCGGAACTCCTCCGCCGCAGCCTTCCAACGGTCCTGCGCCCTAGGGTGCCCCAACCTGAACCAGGGGCGTTCGCCATCCGGAAGTGTCTGCGCCTGGTTCTCCTCTCGGGCGACCAACCGCTGATAAGCATGACCATCGCTTTGGCCTCAACAGCGTCGAAATGCGCAAAGCGCCATAAGCGGGTTGGAAAGTAAAACTTCTTCTTTTGTGGCCCGCGTATCCAGTAGGCCATTGCCGCTCGGAGATCCCAGCCATCGGAGGTTGCCGCAGCACGAAGACGCCACAGGGCGCTATGAAGTAGGCCCGCAGCCTGAATCGATAGAGACGGCTGAGCCGTATCCGCTGCCAGTTCGCCGATGGTAACCGGGCACGGAGAGGCGTCAGAGGCCTTGTGCATAACAATGAATTGCGGGTACCTGACGGCAGTAATGAGCAAACAAAAGATCGGCTGCCTGGTGGAGGCAACCAGGGCCAAGTTCAAGCAAACCCCATTCGTGAGGCTGCACTTCTCCGTTCAACCTCTGAAGTCCTTCCCAGATAGGGTCGCGCCTAGCGGAGTCGAAAGCTGCCAAGCGGACCTTTGGGACACCAATGCTGATGAAGTTTGCCGGTGAGTTAGAGAAAGCTTGCAACAAAAACTCATCTGGGCCAGAGCTTGCAATCAGCATGTCCAGCTCGGCATGGGCCCACTGAGCATTGAAGCCCCAAAAAAGGGTAGGACGGGCGCAAGAAAGCTCAAGCGGCCTAGTTCTAGGGCACTCGAGCAATCATCACACCACAGTCGGACAGTTTACAGATTAACAGTTGATGCTGAACTTCGTCTTCAAAGCCATGTGCTGACCGTCTGCACTCATCTTTGCTGACCTGTTGGCTACACGAATTCCCTTCATTCGTGAGGCTGCACTTCTCCGTTCAACCTCTGAAGTCCTTCCCAGATAGGAGTCGAAAGCTGCCAAGTAGACCTTGGGACACCAATACTGATGAAGTTTGCCGGTGAGTTTGAGAAAGCTTGCAACAAAAACTCATCTGGGCCAGAGCTTGCAGTCAGCATGTCCAGCTCGGCATGGGCCCACTGAGCATTGAAGCACCCAACGGCACTGGCGGCGGACGCGCAGCTTCCCGCGGCCGTGAATTTAAAAGGCCCATAGCACCTGTCATCCGTTCGCACCGAAATTGCGTGCCGCTCGGGATATGAAGACATCGCGAGCGGAGGCGACTCGCGGTAGCCCACACAGAACAAGCCAGCACCATGCCTCTGCCTGCAGTATGTCGGAGCAAGCTCACAAGGAAGTGAGTCGTGCCGCGTAGTGCCCGGGCTCCATCTGTAGAGCGTTGGCAAACAAATGTCCATAAAAGTGAATTCAATGTAGCCCACTCAACTCTGGTTACACATCATGCTGGAAGAGCAGGGCCAGAGCATCGAGTCATTGGTGTTGGTCCGAGAGCGGTCTCGTCTTCGCACCCCACGAGATGGTCCATCGGAGGGGTTTTCTGACGATGGAACCAGTTTGAGATGAAGCAAGTCGCCGACCATGACAAGTGCGGCCACTTTTCTAAGTAACCTGTAGAGCTACGATGATGAATGACCTTAGCAGCAGCCCCAACCCAAACTGAAGAGTCCAGCAGCTCCACAACTCTTTTTTGAGTGATGTTGCCTGCATCGCGAGCCAGCGCAAAAAGCACGAAAGTCTCACCCTCTAAGACGTTGATGTGAGCCGGGAAAACACTCTTCACACTGAAAATGTCGGTGAAATCATCCAGGCTGAGATCAAGCTCGTGGCCTGGACCGAGGCGGTTTGCAAAGTCAGCGCCGCCATCCATCACGATGAAGGCGCCTTGCTTCTCGGCCCAACGGGCAACACGCCTGACATACGCCTCGCTTGTGCGCACCACGGAAGCCCCGAAGCCACATTCGGTGCTGGCGTCAGTGGCTCCAAGTAGAGGAAGAAAGGGTCCCGTCAGATCGCATCGCCAGAAAACCGCGAGACACAGACTGCACGATAGCGCCAAAACCTCGCAAGGAAGCTTCACCTCAAGATCCTCATGTTCACTCCGAGCAAAAACGTACACGGCCTCGTATATGGACAGCTTCGGACGTAAGAGCAGATCGTACCACTGGAGGGCTCCCAAGAGCCACTGCACTTGTTTTGGCGAGCCGACTTCCCTGATGTGCAAGAAAAGGAAGCTCAGAAGCATCGCCAAATACCTTGCAGCGACGTCCAAGTACTTGCCATCGACAAGGTTCACACCCACGCAGGTGGTAGACAGCTCGTCATTCACGTCCTTCGCAGCATTCCGAACCATGTCTCCTCAAACTCACCGTCCAGTGCTTGCGCTGCAGCAAGGGTGATTCCAGGACCAGCATTGCTGAAGAGCACCAACAACGTCAGGGCTGTTGGCGATGCCAGGTGACGAGCTTCGGCGGCACCCCAGTCGCTTTGAGACACCCTCCTTCCATGCCAGACTTTGCGCAGTCTCGTCCCGTCCGGCGCGATCGCCTATTTTGGTGATGTTCAGCCCTTGTCGGGTTACCCGATATCCGAGCTCCCGAAGATCCAAGTCAAGACTGACCTCAACTTCGTCCTCAATTCCAAAAGAGGCATTCCGACAACTCCCGGCATACGGTGAGCTGGTGCCCGGCGGCGGCTCAGCGCCCTGATGGCCATTGTGGCGATGTCCCAGGCTAGTCCACCTGACTCTCTGTGTGAAGCGGGGGGAGACTACACCAAGCCTCGCAGTGCCGTGGCGAGTCGCCCCGGAGACACTGGCTGCAGGGCCAGCTGGGCGACTCCACGGATGCCAACGGGCTTGGCGATGAGTCGAGCCAACGTGCGCAGTTGAACCTCACCTTTACCGCCTCCAGCAGGTTGCCGTGGGTCGTCCGTGGATGACAGCTGGCCAGCTGCATCAGCAAGGATGGCAGGCTGTCCCTCCTGTTGCCCTTCATCATTACGATGACATGCGCGTTGTTGAGGAAAGTCTTAACCTCACTGTGGGAGGCGTATCTGTGAAAAGTTTGCTCCTTTTAGGTGTGCTCTTGAGTACCGACATGCTTGTTTTGCGCATGAGAAAGGGTTTCATCCTTTTTGCCTTGAACTGTTTTGTTTTGGAAGCTTGAACAGGCATTTGCATGGCGAACACATGTTTTAGCATGTTTGCACTTGTCTTGAAGACCATGATGAGCGCTTACAGCACTAGAGATGCTTTTGGGCATCCTTGAAGAAGTGCGTGTTGCTCTGACTGCACTGTTGCTGTTTTCCGCCGACCCTCGCTTCGCTCGTGCCGGTAGGAACAGGCCAAGGGACAGAGTGGCTGTGCACTGCTGTTTGAGTGAGTACAGAAGTCCTGAGAAGTGTTAGGACAGTTGCATGTCATTCCTCCTTTGTTTAGCAAAGTTGAGACGGAATTTGCTGCGCGAGACTCCGCAAGAGACCTTGCTGAACACTTCGGTGTTTGGCTCAAGCGTGGAGTGAAAAGAGACTTGCTCTGCGTTTTTCACAGTATCGCAGCTGCAGCGCGGCCGACCCCTGCGTGAGCAGCAGCATGTGAGCACACTGACTAAAGGGGAGGCAAGACGTGCACTGCGCCCCGTTGCTTCCGGTTGAGCCGTGGCAATGTTCCCAAGCCCTGCCACCTGGTGCTCAG